AACAACTCAAGATTGAGGTATTTTCTGACTCAGACTTTGCTGGGGATCCTGGAACTGCAAGATCTACTACTGGATGTCTTGTCAAGATCTCTGGAGGACCTGTATCTTGGAAATCAAGACTGCAGAGAGAGGTGGTTCTGTCAAGCACTGAAGCAGAATATGTGGCTTTGACTGAAACCTGCAGGGAAGTCAACTGGCTTAAGAACCTGCTCTCTGAGCTACAACCATTGCTCAAAGATCCTCCCACCAAGTTCAAGGTTCATGTTGATAACAAGTCAGCTATCTGTCTTGTGGAGAATCATGAAAGATCTGGCAGATCAAGACACACCAACCTGAGAAACCACTACTGCAGAGATCAGTATGAGAATGGTGTGATTGATGTTGAGTACATTGAGACTGCAAAGCAAGAAGCTGATGCTCTCACAAAAGCTGGAAAGACCAACCAGCTGCTGTGATACAGAAGCATGGCATTGCGTGCATACTACACTCATTTGAACATTCCCTTTGTGAACTGGAGACCTGCAGTTTGGTGGCCAAGTGCCTTTTCATTCTGTGATGGTATGAAAATCAAAACTCCACACACATGCCCTGTCCTGGGTATCTCAAAATCAAACATGAGTAGCTCCTCCCTGAGCCTGCTTTTCATTCAACAAAAGAAATAAATCAAGAACCCTTGCAGCTCCCCAAACTGCATCTGGCCAGCAGACTCAAGGAAAACAACATGCAGGGCCAGTGCTGCAGAGATCACCACCAAATCCACCAATCCTGAACTCCAGATCTATCCACCACGAGGATATCTGTAGTTCTTGCCCATGAAGTCCCTGCCATTCTCAAACTTCTGATCAAAAGCCAGCTCAACAGCATGTACAGCAGCCCTTATCTCAGCCTTGTACTGCTCATATCCGGCAGTTGAGGAGTAGTTGAAGTTGATAACAATCTGACCACGACGAGAGCCATCTCCTGCAACCTGAACCTCACGAGCTGCATTAATGCGCACAGAGTTTGGCTGTGGTGCACCATCAGACTTGTTTGAATCCTCAGACACAAGCGACATGTCAGACAAGGATCTCTTAAGCCCAGAGTCCCTGTCCTTGCCCTTGCTCTTTCCCTTGAGTTCCTTTGGAGTCCGTGGAGCAGGTGTGTAGCCAGAGGTAGAGCAGCCAGAGTACTGAATCCCAAAAGCACAGTTGGTGCAGGCATTCTGAAAGCAATCCTCTCTAGCAGCATTCTGGATGGGAACCTTGTGACAAGCTCTGAATGGCCGAGCTCCAGCTATTGGAGGCTGGCACTTGCTGCAGGAACTGGCACCCTGAGCCACAATGGCATTTGATGCCTCAGCCAGAATGCAAGGAAGGTAGCAAGCACTCCCATCCAAGTCGAAGGTAGAGTGACCACGGAAGAGAGGAGTCTGAGTGATCTGAATGGGATTTGGGTTTGTGGCGTCAAAGAATGCCATCCACTTGACACTGGGCTTGTTGCGAGCCAAAGAGAAGTCCAGATTCCGGTTCCAGGCCTCCAGCATCTGCTCACACCAGGCCTGATCACACTGAACAGAGTTGAAGTTCAGACCATAGGCATTATTGACCACGGCCTGAAGCTGTCCATTGCTCATCTGCTGAGCAGCCATGACTGAGCTCAAGTCAGTATTCAACTCACAGTCACAAGCCACTGATCCATACCTTGGCTCTCAAGAGAGAGAAGTTCTGAGAGTGTCTGAAGTGTTGTGAAGGAAGTGGAATGGTGTTTGAATGGTGTGAAGAGTGTGGAATGGGTATGTGCAAGAGAGAGAGTTCAAGGAAGAAGAAGAACTCTTTTATGGGCAGAACTTAAGATCAGGTGATTGCCAGCTTAACACACTGAAGGTTCAAGAGATTGCGTGGCAATCCATGTGATGCCTGACCTGCTCATGAGCATTCTGAAGGGTCATTTGCTTTGTGATATGGTCACTGATAAGGTCACAAGGTCACATAAATGGCTCAGACACGTATGACAGCAATCAGACAGCTCAAGAAAGAACTGTCTGTATGCTGAGGGGGAGTGTTGTGCCTGGGGATCACGTGAGTGCCAAGAAGGCCACATCTTCTGAATTCACAGTCCTTGTAGATACCTGCTCCCGTAATCAATCATCTATGAAGGCCTAATAACCGCTGCACAACAAGCCGGCAGACCTTCCTTCCTTCCTTCCATCCGGCTAAATGCATAGGGCGTAGTGGAGCTCGTGAGTCAAGATTCGGCATCCAGTGCCGACATATATTGGAAAATCGCCATCATGGAAAAAGCTCTTTAAGAGTAACCTGACTCCTTCTAAGACACTCAATGGTAAAGTGTACTTCCAACAATGTCCTCAACAACAACAACCATCACCAACCCCTCCCCCTACGAAGACATCCAACTCCCACCCTGGCCCTCCTCACGACCCCCCTCCTCAACAAGAACAAGAGCAGTAGCAGAAGAAGAAGCCTCCAACCTCCACCCCATCCAAAATGCCCTCCCACCAACCGACGAGGGCTACCACGCCTGGCTCGCCCTCTTCGGCGCATTCCTCTCCAACGGCCTAATCTGGGGCTTCGCTCTCTCCTTCGGCATCATGCAAGAGTACTACACCTCCCACGAACCGTTCACCTCCCAAGGCGGCATCGCGGCCATTGGAACGACCTGCACGGGATTGATGTACCTCACCATGCCGGTGTATCTGTGGATTTTCCAGCGCTGGCCGAGATGGAGACAGTATGCTCTCTACGCTAGTCTGCCCATCGTAGCCGCGAGTTTGATTGGCGCAAGCTTTACGGATAAAGTCTCCGGGTTAGTGGTTACGCAGGGGGTGCTGTATGCGATTGGAGGGAATGCGTTGGTTATGCCGAGTATTAATTATATCAATGAGTGGTTTGTGAGGAGGAGGGGGCTGGCGTTGGGGATTGCGATTGCGGGCGATGGGACGGGGGGTGTGATTATGCCGTTGATTCTGCAGGGGTTGTTGTCGAAGGTTGGGTTGAGATGGGTACGTCTTCGTCTTCGAAACCACTCTGATAGTCTTGCTGACAATGTGTAGACCCTCCGCATCGTCGCCGCGATGATCGTCGTCCCGGCTGCTCCGTTACCCTTCATCCTCAAGCCTCGCCTCCCGGTTTCATCAACCCATGTAGCGCCGCCTGTCGATGCCTCGTTTCTTCGATCACCGCTGTTCTGGATCTTGCAGGTCTTCAACGTCGTCGAGGCACTGGGCTACTTCCTCCCAACCAACTACCTCCCTTCCATCGCCGAAGCTCTTGGACTCAGCTCGACGCTCGGGTCTCTCACGGTCTTGTTCGTCAACTTCGCCGCGGTGTTCGGTTGTATCGGCGTGGGAGTTCTGGTCGATCGATTCGACGTCACGACTGTTATGCTCGGAGTCAGTATCTGCGCAGGTCTCGCTGTATTCACAGTCCTCGGCTTCACAACATCAATCGCGCCGCTTTACGTCTTCAGCGTCGTGTACGGTCTGACTGCAGGCGGATATTCGACAAACTGGGCGGGAATGATCAAGATCATCCAGGGGAAACATGATGGTGCTGACGCCAATTTGATCTTTGGACTGTTTGCTGCCGGCCGTGGTGTTGGCTCGATAGTCAGTGGTCCCTTGTCTGAATCTTTACTGGAAAGCGCGAAAGGGTTCTCAGAGTCAGCAAGTTCAGCGTATGGCAGTGAGTACGGGAATATAATCGTTTTCGCTGGCACGACGGCCGTGGCGGGTGGGCTTGGCTGGTTTGTGAGAAAGGCCGGTATCATGTAGATATAAGTTGACTGTCAAAGGTTACATACTGTACAAGTCCTGTCGCAGGCTTCATTCCAAGTCTCTCTTTCGTTCTGATTTACACAATGCTCACATCGTCGACTCCGTTGTTTAGTAGATCGGCACCTTGAAAGCTGGGAAGGTGTAGGTCCAGCTCTCGATCGAGGCATTGTCATCAACGCAGTCGAAGCTGGTGCTGTTGCTCTGCCACAAAGGACGCTTAGGCCACTGGCAAAGCTTCTGCACCTCGCCTTCGTAGGTTCCAGAGGAGACGGTGGCGTTCAGGCGAGATGGCTTGATTCCATTCTCAACCCAGTCGATTATGGTTTGCATCTTGTCCTGTGGGTATGGGCCGGGTTGAAGGGTGTTTGAGCCGCAGTGCGCCGCGCCGGGAATGAGGTAGAATTGGTACCAATCGTTGAGCGCGTCGAGAGCCTCCGAATCGGAGAGATTGCCGTACATGATGGACTTCACAGACTGCCAGTAATGAACAGAGGAAGCAGCTGGGATCGATGGGTCGGATTCGCCGTGGTAGTGAATCATCTTACCGCCAGAAGATTGGAATGGGGTGAGGTCTGGGAGGGTGGTCTGAAGACTGTCGAGGTACCTGAAGTAGCCAATGCTCATCCAGTCGACCAGGGTGTCGTAGGTGACGTTGTCGAGATTCTCGAGGTTGTCGATGTTGAGCAACTGGACGAATTTTGTGACGTATTCGCCTCCAGTAGATGGGATGCTCAGAGACCAAGACGAAGTGGAGTTGTCCCAAACTCCGTCCGCATCGCTGAGGTCGGAGCCAATCTGCCAGGAAAGGTATGCACGCTGGCCAGCAGAGTTATGGAGACCATCGTATACAGCCTGTGCAACAGCCACGTCTTCTGCAGTGACAGTCCCGTTCTGGGCAGGCTGGTATCTGGACGAGCTGCCTGCGGCCGCCTGGCGCTTGACCTTGCTGAAGCCGAAGCCGAGTGATGTGCTAGTCTCGGCAGCACAGTAGTAAGACTCGCCGATAATGGAGCTGAGGTTGAAGTTGAGCATGCAGAGGTCTGTCCGGCTGATGACACCGTCGGTGCGGCCATCCAGAGGGTCGCAGGCTGCGATGGTGGCGTTGACAATCTTTTCCAAGGCGCATGGTGGAGCATAGTAGCCCATTGTATGCTCGACTGTGGCAGGGAAAACGTGATGAACTTGCTGCTGTGCAAATCGGAAGGCCGGGGCGCCTGCAATAACACCGTCGTATTCCTCACCCCATCTCTGGACCTGGCTCATGCCCTCGCGTCCACCATCCGAGCAGCCTATCACAAGTCAGCTAAGAAACTTCAAAAGAATGTATGAGAGAGTGACTCGCCCTCGTAGTAGGTGTAGACCTTCGTATCGCTCGACAAGCCGTAGAACCCTTTGGTGACCTCCTTGCTGACCTTCGTCATTTCGCCCAGCGCTTGGTATGAAAACATGTAAGTGGCATCCCAGTTGATGGAGCCATTTCCGTACAGCACCACCTCGTCATAGCTCTGATCGAATGCGTCGTACCCGGCAGAAGTGGCAGCACCAACAGCACCATATGCAAGACCTCCAGTGGCATCGCTGGAGAGCGAGAACCCTCCTCCACCGGCGACGTAGTAGCGGTTCTTGAAGGTGGAAGGCTCTGGGAAGACGATCTTCAGAACAACCTCGTCACCCTTACCGGTATGGGTGTAGGTAACGGTCGCGTTGCAGTAGTTGTATGTCGTGCTTGTGGTGGAAGTAGTGGTGGTCATGCCGCCTCCGGTGGTGGCATTGTACACAACGCTGGCAGTGACCGCGGACGGAATCAGGTCGATACCAAGGAGGGTTCCGTTCGATGGGAGGGCAGCTTGGATATTGGAAACAGTGCAGACGTCCGCCAGAGAGGTTGCATTAGATGCGGCTCCGACTGCTGAGGTTAGAGAAGCAGCAACAGCTGCGCGAGAGAAGCGTCCCATCTTGGATTGAAGTGAACGAGAGTACTGAAAGAAAAGCCAATTGCAGACCAACGATAGAAGCCATCTTCAAGTTATAGATGCACATACCTTGCCAGCAGGCGTCACTGTGTCGGCGCAACTACGATAGAAGAGCCATGTCGGTAATGCGGCTGATCTTTGGAGTTCGTCATGCGTTCTGTCGAATGCTCTGGCTTTCTGTTTGAAGTAAAGCAAGCTAGGTGATGAAAATCCAAATGTGTAGTAGTCTGGGAGTACAGCCTCGTGGCGACGCGATGTTCTCTGCGCATTCGGCGCATTCACCGGCAGGCCTCTGACGAGGTAGGTGTTGTGTCAGGTCCATCAAGTCATCTCCGTGGCTTTGCCGAGGAGAGGTCTCTGGGCGATTTTCCAAGACCGTGGCTGGAGTGGTATGATTTTGCTGAAAACGCCCAGATTTAACGCCGCAGACTCGCACGAAAACGGAGGGTAGGGAAGGAGGCTGTATATAACTTTTCAATCGCCTTGCGCACGAGCCACTTGCGCAGATGACTACGTGGTTGAGCCGCGCAATGCTGGAAGAGCTTCGGCAAGGTGGTCGCACCTTGCGTCGCCACCACTCTTTCGCCCTTCACAGCAATTCCAAGAGAGCGATAGTCAGATCATGTCGACAGCAGGTGAGAAGACTTCCGACGCTGTCGCACATCTACAGCGCAAGCTCGTCATGGCCGGGGAAATCTTCCCATCGCTCAGCAATGGCTACGAGGCCGTGACGCCAGCAGCGAAAGACCGACTGATGCCAACGAGCTCAACCCGGAGAGACATGTCGGCGTTCCCGTCGTTGACTGTGCCTTTGCTCGGAGGTAAGGCCCAGACGCGGCCACGATAGTCGTCCACGGAGCACGGAGGTGCGGTTGTTGTTCGGTTTCAGGAAGCAGATGATGGGCACAGGTATGAAGATTGCCGAATTCGAGGTTCTCGTATCGGCAGTCTCGTTCTCTTGGAGGTCCTGGCAGCAAAGAGCCCATATAATGGCGTTGGCGTCTCTCCGATGATATGGAGTGAATGACAGATGCGTCGAGGTCAAGGTGAGGGGAATTTCGTTTCGAACGGTCTGTGGTCAACACGTGCGTGCTCCATTGAACGCGCGAGATTCGCGCGTCTTTTGACTTCAACGTTTCGTCAGGATCTGAAAAGGAGTAAACATGCACCTCGAAACATGGACATGCACTCCCACTCTGTTCTTTCCAGAAACATAGCAAGATGACTGTAGATAACACACCGTCTACTGACTCGGCCAGCTTGAGGGCACACGGCAACGAGCTGTACAAAGCAGGCAAGATCGAGGAAGGTGAGCGCGTCTCGAAATCGCGACCCGACTAGCACTCAACTTTGAGACAGCCATACCTTTGTATCAGCAATCTGCTGAGCTTGCCCCGTTGGATCCGGCCCCATTGTCCAACCTGTCAGCAGCCTACTACGAGCTAGGCAATTACCCGGCATCAGTGACCGCATCTGATCAAGCGCTAGCTCTTCTTGAAGATGAGGCGAAAAGGCAGAAAGTCGCTGCTCGCAAGTCGAAGTCACTCGTGTACTCGTTGAACTACCAAGCGGCCATCGAAGCCCTTGGCTCAGTGTCAGGCGACAATGACAACGCAGACACTGTCAAGGCTGTCCAAAATGCCATTGACAGCCAAGCGTCCGTGCAGGATTGGGTTGAGCTACGAACACGTCTTGTGAACGAGCTACCACGATGCAAGCCACAAATGTTCGTTCGATGGGGGCCTGCGTCAGTGCAAGCACTAACCGCTGGCAGTCGAAATGTTCCAGAGTACTTCGTGGTCGGCCACGATGTACCAGACTCACTCTACGACAGATCGCTCCTGAAAACTGGCAGGGACAAGATATCGCTTCTGTTCGCGGGCATCGGCGATTCTCGAAATTTGCATGCGACATTCCTCTCTTTCTTCTTGGACGAGTCCCAAGGCAAGCTCCCCATGGACAAGGCTTTCCACATCACCATCTGCGACCACAAGCCGGCAGTCATTGCCCGAGACATTCTGATACACGGAATCATCAGTGAGCTGGCCGATTGTGGGGATGACTTCGAGAAGCAGATCGACAGCTTCACCATTCCTCTGCTGTATTATCTCTATCTGTCGCCCATCATGCCTGATGCGTTTCACATACTTCTTCAGAGGAACATCACTCACCTAATTAAAGTTCTGGAAGATCCACAATTCCGGATGAGGACCCTTTATGTACCACAGATGTACAGACCGGCTATACTCAAGATCCTTCGAGAATGGCAACACGAGGCGGGTGAAGAGTATCACACAGTCCGTATGCGTAAGGAGACGATTCGACAACGTGCAAAAGACCGTGCGAGTCTGGAGTTAACCATGATGCAATACCCTGAAGCGTCCACTTCGATACACAATCCTCCTGAGGGCTGTGAAAAAGAAGAAGCGTTCTATCGTAATACGGGTGTTCTGGTCATGAATTGGACTAGCCATAACAAGGTTCTAGAGACTGAGCTTCAGAAGGCATACGCAGACTTTGATCCCAGGAACCCAAACGCCCTTGACACAAGCTTTCTCGACGTGGTTGATGCTTCCTGGAAGACAAACCCGACGTTCATTGATCTGGAGTGGCAGCGAAATCGAGAGGACTCCCATGCCGATACCTGTATTGGCCATGATCCTTTCCGATTTGGACATGAGTTGAAGAGCGTAGGCATGGCAGCACCTGAGAAGCAAGGCCTATTGAACTACTTCGGCTTCTGGCTGACGTTCGTTGCAAAAGGCCTTACAGCAGTGAAGTCACGACTTCGAGTCGAATGCTGCATCGGCGATATCACTACCGTCCTGGAGCAGATCCGGATCGGCGCAGTCGGACATAGAACGCCTATCCCAGTCCATGAAGGTCAGCAGACTGCACGCAGCGACACGTCCAAAATTCACTCTGACCTTGCTAGGGATGATAAGTCCGCAATACAGAAACCCCAGATCAAGGCCGACCATCAGCTGGACGATTTCCCCAAGGCGTACGACCGCATCCACCTGTCCAATATTCCTGATTATATTGGCGGTAGCTTTGCTACCTTCCTCTACGCCATGCCCGTCCTGCACCCGGGCAAACAGTGCTATTCCATGGCAAATTGTTTACGAAACCCTCCGCGCTTCAAGACGCATGTCCATTTCAACCACGAATATCTCGCCGGACTCTCATCTCCGTGGGATCTGGTCAAAGCTTTCCAAGTCCGTATGGAAGACATTGAGCAACCTGACGCACCTCTAATCTTGAGCGACTATACCAAATGGCACCGAAAACCTGTCTCGCGGAACCTCTCAAGCCTCTTGTCTCGAGAACAAATTGAGCTCTGGCTGTTCAGATTCTTCCTGAAGATTAGCATCCCAATGACGCGAGAGATGCGCGAACAAACGCTCATATATTCGCCTCTGAACCTCACAGCAATCGTTCGCCTCTGTGCCCATCTATACCACGTTGGCTATCCCGCGCATTGGCTCAGCGGCGTGCTCGAGGAAATCTGCTCTGGAAAGATCAAGACCCGAGCTCGTCCACCACGCTCTGACCCCCTCACGTTCGAAGAGACGAAGACCAGTTTCCCCCTTCTTTCCCAGTCAACCGCGCCATTCGCTACCGAGTTCACAACATTGCTGAGCATGTCGCAATGTACGCTACCCTTTGGGATCCTCTCACCGCACATACCTCCCATCCATCTTGCGCACCAGTACAGCTTCGTCTTCCCCGAGGTTCCAGATATTGTTGCCGAGACGCCCGTCTTCGTCCTCGTGCTCTTCTCCATGCATCAGCTTCCAAAAGAAGCAGAGCAGAGAGGCATGCGGAAATTTCTGTTGAGCGATGAGACAGGTTCCAGGACGGAAAAGGGGCGGATTGCCAGGGAGGAAGGCATCCATGTTATATCGACTTGGCAGTGGCACAGGCAGGAGAAGAAGGCGACCTTCTGGCTTCGAAAGGATGTCTTTGAGGCTCTCGATCATTCCACATGGGGCATCTCCATCTGGAGAACCGATTCCTGGTTGAGACAAGCAGGACCAGAGCTTCTCGTCGATGTGGTAGACGAAGGGCCGTGGATCTCTAGCCAGAGCAAAGAATACTAGCTCTGGGCGACGAGCAGTGCGAACTTCGATATAGAACGGCTCTACCTTCAAGACGTTTGGCGAGGTTAGACGTCCAAGATCAACAAAGGACCTTGATGGCGTGCCAGCTGATGAGCTATATGTTCAGCTTGAGTCCCATTGAGGAAAATCTGCGCCCGACAAATAATAAACATTGCAAAATCAACCTCCCCTACATCGCTCGCATCGCTATATGCAAGCGGTCAAACACGGACTGGCACGCCTACGCTTCTCTATCAGCTACCTGTCATTCCGGCTTAAATCATCTCCACAAGTTCTGATTTTGTAGATGATGCCTGATCATTGGCCTCCAGACTGGGTCTGCATCGCTGGTGGTCTCTCACAGCGAGCGATCTAACTGCATTGAAACGCGTCATTTCTATTCAGCTGCGGCGGAATGACCCCAAGAACGCAAATTGCTCGAAAACACAAGCGGCTCTTTGCAATGCCAATCAGGCACATTTCCAATTGAGTTTGCGGGTATCAAGCTGATGTATCACGTTGCAGGTAACCATGACACCTAGTCGAAGTGAAACACCAGGGCTGACGACATCCGTGGGCCCGCCCAGCTTGCAAAAGTTCCGTGTCGGCAAGCAGTGGAAGGAGCCCTTAATCGAATAAATATCCTTCACCGGCCCGTTTGCGCATAAAGGCACGATGAGTATCCAGTCATACCACCAATTGCCGCGAACGACGTCCTTCCATCTATCCAACATCAAGTCGGAGAAGTCGCACAAACAATCATGGCGGCACAACTTCCCGTGGAAGCTTTGGCACCGTCTCACGACACTCGAAGCCAAACAAGGTCAATACACTCAATTTGCCTCTTTCGTTTGTTACGCCGGGTCCGAACTTCCAGGCAAATGCCTAATTTTGCTCCATCTTCGCCCGTCAAGGATGGCTGTGTTTCTGACAGACAGGGCTCAAGGGCTCGGCAAAAACGGCAACTGCTTACCATCAGCCTCGTCCATGGATACCTACTGGACCTTGTAGCTGTAAGAAATGGTATGCTATGGTCAGCGTTAGCGAGAAGTTAATGTTTTCAGCACGTTTGGACATAAGACGGCTGCCACATCTTACGGATCGATAAATGTACAAGCCAAGACGGTGACCGACCTCGTTGTTTCAACTTTCTCGATCTCAACTCAAAAGATGAACTTCCCAACGTATTTGCAGCAGAATGGGCCTGAGGATGTCGAATCTCCTGTATTTCTGCTAATGTCGAATTGATTTCCGCTCAAGCTGACGTCCGCGATGTCTAGCTGTTCATCGACGCCGACAACCCAGAACGAAGCCTTTCATGGCGGCAGTACGCATCTACGGTCAAGCAGATAGCCGTTGGTCTTCGAGATATCGGCGTTGAGCAATCAGACACTGTTGCGATAGTGAGCCGCAACGACATCTTCTACTATATCCTCGGGAATGGCATCAATGCCGCTGGAGGTGTCTTCTCGCCCGTCTCGGCCTTTGCCAAACCGATCGAAATGGAGCATCAATTGCGGGTCACCTATGCCAAATGGGTCTTTGTCGAGCCTGAGTTCCTGGATGAGGTTGTGGCTGCTGCTGAGAAAGTTGGGACTCCCAAGTCCAACATATTGGTCTTTGATATGCAAGACCAGACACGCCGAGAAGGATACCAAACATTTAGCCAGATCCTCCAAGCCGACGAGTCCAAGTATACTCCGCTCGATTTTGACAGCAAGCAACCCTGCGATCGATACTTGACAAGCGGAAGTACAGGTCTGCCCAAGGCCGCCGAGATGTCCCACGGGGCCATGATCTCACGAGTGAGGCCATATCTAGCTCTCCCCAATCCCAAACCCCTTTCTTCGGTTCGAAACCTCCACTTCATCGACATGCATCACATCAGCGGCTGGTTCAACAACACATTCACCGCCATTGGAAAGCACACTTACTACGTCCTGCGACGAACCGATGCTCTCTCGATTGTGGATACGATCACTCGACACAGGATCACACACATCATGATGCATCCGCGAATGGTCGAGGAGGTGGTGGTTCTCCTTCAGCAGGGCGTCAGAGAGCGGTCCGCAATTTCCTCACTGGAGCTTGTCAGAGTTGCCGGCAGCGTCGTGAGAGGCGACTTTCTGGACCTGCTGGAGAGGTTCATGGCGCCGTCTGGCAAAGCGAATATTTCCTACGGAGCGACTGAAATGAGTACCATCGCAGCTACGCTGTGGGGTACGCCTAGACTCCCGGGGTGTGTGGGCAAGCCGCCGGTGGGAGTGGAACTTCTGTAGGTGTCATACTTTCTAAGTGTCGATCGATCACTGATGGTTTCTAGCATTGTGGACCCGGACACCCTCGAAGAACTCCCGCACGATGTAGACGGCGAGATCTGCTGTCGAAGTCCCGGGATGTTCACAGGCTATGTCAACAACGAAGAAGCGACCAAGAAGGCTCTCGTCCAAATCTCCTCGAAAACGTGGCTACGCACGGGTGATCGAGGCCATTGGTCATCGTCCCTCCAACAACTCGCCATCACGGGCCGATACAAGGAGACTTTCAAAGTCGGGACAGAAGAAGTAGCGCCAGAAGAAGTGGAAGTCGAACTGCTGAAACAACCTGGGATCTCAGACGTCGCCCTTACGTCTACAGACGCACGCCCAGGGAAAGGAGGCCTGGAGCCCTTGGCATACATTGTCGCACCGGATAAGTCCATCTCAGCGCAGCAAATCGTGGATCACATCGCCGACTGTGTCGCCGCATACAAAGCTCCCACGGGAGGCGTAGTCTTCTGCGAGAGTATACCCAGGACCAGCTTCGGAAAGATCCAGCGGGCGAAGCTGAACGGCTTGATGGAGAAGGTGTCGTGGGAAGAAAGGTCAGCGAGGTTCTTGACGCCTACGACGGATATGTCACATCTCTAGCTGGGGTTGGGAGCTGGTGGCGTTCCCACATCCTCTGAGGAGTGATGTAGACTACGGGCGGAGCAGATTGAATCAACCAATCAACGCTGGCCATGAGCTAAGCATTTCATTCACCCACTTGTGGCTTACTAATTGAGGGACCCTCTTTCCTAAATGGGGATTCGGCCTTTCTCTCTTGAAACCAGGGTCTGCGAAGGTAGGGTTGTAGCTAACGTGTGATGCAGAAGGCTTGATAATTGCGAACGAAGCTCGGGAACGCAGCTCTTTGCGAGCCAGGTATCGCGAGGAGACAATTGACAAGATCCAGAACGCGAGGTGAAGCCATTTACCAAAGTATTATATACCCAGGGACACTCCTTCCACAACGCTCCCACGCGGGCAGAACACACCAACACACCAAGAACACACCACCCCAAAGACAATCAACAATGGCCGCCCTCCCACCCCCAGGCCTCCACATCCCCGCCTCAACCTCCACAGTCTCAATCTCCATAATCAAAACCAGCACCGAGATCCGCGGCCTCCCAACGGGCTACTTCTTCGACCCGCCCATCCCCGGCCACGACCACATCGCCGCGCCAGCCTTCGCCTTCCTAATCCGCCACCCGGTCCTCAACCGCACGCTCATCTTCGACCTGGGCATGTCCAAGAACTGGCGCTCCAACCCCGTCCTCAACGCGCGCTTCGGGAATTCGAAGGACGTGGGCGTCACGGTCAACAAGTCTGTGCGGGAGATTCTGGAGAGCGAAGGGCTGGATTGCAAGGACGTCGAGGCGGTGGTCTGGAGTCATTGGCACATGGACCACACGGGCGACGTGCCTGAAATCGAGAAGTCGACGAAACTCATCGTGGGGCCTGGATTCCAAGAAAAAGTCCTGCCAGGCTATCCACGAAACCCAGAGTCGTACGTCATGGAGAGTGATTGGGAAGGTCGCGAGCTGCTCGAAATCGACTTCTCAACTTCGGGCTTGAAGATCGGGAAATTCCAGGCGTACGACTACTTCGGCGATGGCTCGTTTTACTTCCTCGACAGTCCTGGGCACGCCGTAGGCCACCTCTGCGGCCTGGCGCGCGTGACGGCCGACCCGCCGAGTTTCATCCTCATGGGCGGGGATGCGTACCATCACGGCGGGATGATCAGACCGTCGCCGTATCTCCCTTTCCCGGAGAATGTCGCGCCTAATCCGTTCGCGCCGTCGACGGGCTCGCCTTGTCTGGGACATATCTTCGAGTCCCTACTTCAGGATGGCGACAAGAAGAAGCCATTCTACAAACCCTCCGCACCAGCAGCGGGAGGCGCGTACGATGATCCGGAGGAGGCTGGGCGGACGATTCAGAAGTTGCAGGAGGCGGATGTGAGGGAGGATATTTTGATGGTGGCGGCGCATGATGAGACGCTGCTTGATATTGTGGATTTCTTTCCGAAGCTGGCGGATGGGTTTGTGGAGAAGGGATGGGTGCGGCAGGCGAGATGGAGGTTTTTGAAGGACTTTGCTAAGGCTGTGGGTTATGAGGGGGAGGTTGAAGGGATGAGGTCTTGGGGACCGCCGAATCAAAGCTGAAGAGCCAGGACGCTTTGAATGAGTTTTGGCACTGTGACTTTCGACCTACTGTACATTTGAACGGTGTCTTGCTACAGCAGCTTTTTGCGAAGGCGATATTGTCGCCCACTTGTTCAACCCCAACTCCTTCCTTATGCATCACTTATCCACCTCGTACTCAAGTGATCCAGAACGCCACGCCATCAGAAAGCAAGAGGGGGTATCAGTAACCACGAGAATGTGCAATCACATCAGACCAGCCTTCTCCAGGTCATCATACACCTTCTTCGGCATGACGTTGCCCTCGCGATCCTCCATCTCGATGATACCCTCGCCGGTATCACCACCCTTCCTCTCCAGCTCTGTCGCCTTGTCGCGCTCGAGCTTCTCCCAGAGCTTCTCCGCCTCGTCGATCTTCGTGATTTCGCGGAACAAGCCCGTGGTCTTCGAGATGCCCAAACACTGCAGTCCGTAGATGTGGCGGGCTTCTGAGAAGTGCTTGTCGAATGCTCGTCGACCCATGTAGACGTAGTTGCCGCAGATTTCGCAAGGAAACTCCACACCCAGGCCGTGGAGCTTGTACAGCCAGAATGGGATTGGCTTGCCATCCCATGCCAGTGGAAGCTTCAAAGGGTTGTAAACCTTCTCGCCGTCTTCAACCTCGCCTTCCTCGCCCTCAGCCGTGCCGGCGACCTCCGCATCTTCCTCGTACAGCGCTGCCAGTTCTTGCTGTCGCTCTTTGTCGGTCATACCAGCCTTCCGCTCCACATTCACGCGAGTGTCTTCGCGCTCGGTCTGCATGGAGTTGGCAAGTTTGCGTACGCGATGCTCACGATCTGCGACAGCCCGCTCTTTCAATCGCGCGAATGGATTTCCACCTGCCGTACCGTTCGAACCTCCATTGGTCATTTCAACATCACCTGAGTCGCCATTCTGTTGCCTCGCCTCCGCGTTCTTGATGTGCTTCTTGCCGGTCAAATGTGCTTTGTAGACATTGTCATTCTTGAACTCCTTCTTGCAGTCTGCGCACCACACGCCTTCACCAGTGCCTTCCGTGACGAGTCCCTTGGAAGCACCGTTTGTCTTCGCCTCTTTCTGTTGCCAGCCAGGTACCTTGTCCTCTTCCCACTCTTTCTCGAACTCGTCATCGAAGGCCCTGAACAGCCTGTCCAGATCCTCCAAAGGCTTCACTCTCCGCATGAATGACTCAAGGTATTGCGCCAGGGAGCCGACGTACGCGAAGTAGTGATCGGTCATCTTGTCTTGCTTGGAGATGGTGCATTTAGGCGGCGTGAAGGCATCAAAAGAGTCGAGGTATTGCAGGTAGGTCAGCTTCCGCACTCCCTTCACGCCGGGCAGGTTCAGGTATTCCTCGTGCAGCATGGTCAGGTCGAAGAAGCGACCAAACGCTTCCTCACCGGTGAACATAGTATCGATGTCACCCGCAAAGCCCGCTGGCGGCCCTCCATCTTGCGCTCGCTTGTACGCTCGCTCCAGGTTCTCGACCGGTTCGTTCGGGTACCGCTTGTGGAAGTCTTTGATCTTGTTGTACTCGTTGTAGAAGGTCTCGTAGGTGTCACCTGTGCTCAAAGATTGCACCTCCTGCATTCGCGCATCTTTCTCGTCGTTGTAGATCTGCAGCGCTCGTTGCGATTGGGATTGGATGCGCGCGCAGAAGTTTGAGATTTCATGGTCGCGGACGAGACGACTGCGGATCTGTGAGTTGTGAGCTCTGCGGCGTGAGTAAGAGAGGACTGAAGGATACTTACGTGCTTTGGATCCTCCAGCACTCGGTCTGCGATCGCCTGCTCCAGCCGCTCCACGTCCTCGTGGATCGAGCGCAAGTCTTCGTACAACATCGTGTCCGCCCGTTTGCTCTGCTCGCCGCTGCCGCTGCCGCTTCCTCCTACTCCGCCAACCGTGACTTACCAATGGTTTTCAAAGAGTGACGATTGTGTGGCCGTGGGTGCGTGAACTGGGAAAAGGTGAAGCTGTTTTGTGTGTGGTCGCGTGCCGCTGAAGTTGAAGTTGAAGTTGAAGTTGAAGATTCGCAAGGATTATCCGCTAGTAAACTCTAAATTCTTAGCGCAGATTTCAAGAACCGCACCTCCAGTCGAACACCATCTTCTCCTCCAACATCTCCAACATCACATCAACACAGGAATCTCGACACCGCACCCACCATGGCCGACGAAGGCATCGATCGCAAAGCCGATGAGCGCATGGAGTTCTCGACCTCGAAAGAGGTCACTGTCGCGCCTACATTCGAGCAGATGAGCTTGAAGGAAAACCTACTCCGTGGCATCTATGCCTATGGCTACGAGTCGCCCTCCGCTGTTCAGTCACGTGCAATTGTGCAGATTTGCAAGGGCAGAGACACCATTGCCCAGGCGCAGTCGGGAACGGGAAAGACGGCCACCTTCAGCATCTCCATTCTACAGGTCATCGACACCGCTGTGCGCGAAACCCAAGGTACGTACGGTAGGAAGATGAATCCTCGGGGCAGAGACTGACTTGCCTCCTAGCTCTCGTCCTCTCACCAACCCGCGAACTTGCGACTCAGATTCAATCCGTCATGCTCGCCCTCGGAGACTACATGAACGTGCAGTGCCACGCCTGCATTGGGGGAACCAACGTGGGAGAAGACATTCGCAAGCTCGATTACGGACAACATGTGGTCTCTGGTACACCTGGTCGCGTGGCAGACATGATCCGGAGACGAAACCTGCGCACTCGTCACATCAAGATGCTGGTCTTGGATGAGGCCGACGAACTCCTTAACAGAGGCTTCCGAGAGCAGATCTACGACGTTTACCGCTACCTGCCGCCCGCAACTCAAGTTGTAGTAGTCTCTGCCACTCTCCCATACGACGTCCTCGACATGACGACCAAGTTCATGACCGATCCCGTTCGCATTCTCGTCAAGCGTGACGAGTTGACTCTCGAGGGGCTCAAGCAATACTTCATCGCTGTCGAGAAGGAAGAGTGGAAGTTCGACACACTTTGCGATCTGTACGACACGCTCACCATCACACAAGCAGTCATATTCTGCAACACCCGCCGCAAGGTCGATTGGCTGACGGACAAGATGCGCGATGCCAACTTCACGGTCTCGAGCATGCACGGAGAGATGCCTCAAAAGGAGAGAGACAGCATCATGGGCGAATTCCGACAAGGCAACAGCAGAGTCCTGATCAGTACCGATGTGTGGGCCCGTGGTATCGATGTTCAGCAAGTGAGCTTGGTTATCAACTACGACTTGCCCTCGAACAGAGAGAACTACATCCACCGCATCGGTCGATCTGGTCGTTTCGGGCGCAAGGGCGTGGCGATCAACTTCGTTACTAGCGAGGATGTTCGAATTCTGCGCGACATTGAGCTCTACTACTCGACCCAGATCGACGAGATGCCCATGAATGTGGCGGATCTGCTGTCTTAGTGCGGGTGAATGAAGCGGGTGACGCTTTGAGTGTCGCCAGAATATGATACGCTGACGAGGGGGTTCTGAGGGCGTCCGCAAACACTTACCCGAATCACACGCAGTGATTCAAGATTGAGCTTCAGGCGTACGGCCATTGGGGATGGAAATGGGCAGTTGTAACGATAACGTGAGTCTATACGGGGTGAGCTGCATGCAAGAAGAACAATTACTGACGTTTGAAAGCGAGAATGCATACACGAAAAGCTGTCTTGAGCGAGCAGTCACCTTCAATTCCACGATGAATACGTGCAAGGTGCGTGCGACTCCCTTCTCTTCAGTTAATGCTATTGTCCGCTGTCGTCGTACGGCACTTCGTGAGTGAGTGTCATTTCTCGTAGGATGACTCGGCTTGGGATGGGATACAGCCTCAATCAGCTCGCCCAGCTCAGATGGTATCAATAGCAGTCAAGCACGTTCGGCAGCTTTCACAAGCCACAACAGTAGGTAGCCAAAGTCTCACAGAGAGTTTTCCTCCAAGCATTCTCTCCAATTTGTCTTCATTCAAAATTATTCATATGAAACGTACCCGTTTTGTACCACTGGCTTCATTCACTTCATCGTTGCCAGGGCTCTCAAATCAGTTGTCACATCACTCTATCTCCATCAATCCCCAGGCGACCACGCCACGCTCCTGCCACACGAGATCTCTGTCAATCGCAAACCTCGGGGAAAGAACGCAGAATATCATCAATCCCCAGGTGCGCATCACAATCAGCCTCAGTGGCCATCACATGCCGGTTCGGACGACTACTTAAGACGTCAACCGCCTCTTCTCGACCTGACCCGAACAACAACTTCCAACTACGATTACCCACCATGGCCCACGACGACGAGAAAACCTCCTTCCTTCCCCGCGACCCACGTCACAACTCAGCCACTGACGACGACAACAAGACTCTAGCCACCGTGTACGAAGGCGACGAGTACTTCGATGCCGACCCCAAAATCACGCCCCTCATGAGCCGAAGCCGCACCATCGAAGAGCACGACTTCCAACACACCTTCAAGAAAGAGGACGTCATCGACGCCGAAAAAGCCCCTCGTCGTCACAATATCGTCTTCTGCCTCCTGTTCGTGTGTTTCTTCGTGGCGGCTATGATTAGCAAGGGCACTCCAGGTCAGGTCATGCCGGCCGAGTATAAGCCCTGCGAGTTTGGATCGAGTCAGAAGCGTGGTGTTGCAGGGGGAGAGGAGGACCCCAGCACGGCTACATATACGCCGCAAGCGGATCTGCTGAGCGACTGCCAGAATCTGGAGCTCTGGCCTGAGACTATGCGGCCGAGCACGACGTCGGAGTTGGGTGGATCTCCTAGCGAGGAGGTGAAGCCTCGCTGGGAGGGTACGGCGTACTCCAACAGCTCGATCACGATGACTGGCACTGGCACCGGAATCCCCACCATCCCAACGTCCGACTACGCCAAGGTAGCTGCATCGAACACCACTGTATGCTCAGACTCTGCGGGGATGGAGGCGCAGACGACCGGGCCAGAGTCTTACGCTGGCCTGGGATCTGCGACGGCGTGGGGTCCGCCAGGGACGGTTGAGAGCACTCTCAAGACGATGCTTTCTCCGACGGGTGGTGGCAACATGCGCTACGGGCAGCCATTCAAGCCGAATACGAAGGGATGGCCTGGTGAATGCCATGCCGAGCCGAATAGGAAGGTTGGAGATCCGGAGAGGTAAGAATTGACATCTATCCCCGTTACTCCATGCCTGACCAAGCTACCAAAGATGCTGGTGTTACGCCGGAGGAACGCCGCGAGCCAGCGAAGTAATGCGCTCCGCCATCAAAGACGCGTGCCGATACTTCAGCCTGAACTCCCTCGGACCCGCGGGAGACCAACACAAGCAAGTCTTGGCATCAAACTACCTCTACGACGACCTCGAAGTCCCCTCCCACGCGGGCCGCATCCTCCTCAAGATGGAATACTGGGGCGACGCCAACGGGAACGACGTCAACCAGCGCCCGGATGGACCCTGTTTGATCTTCAAGACGGGCTGGGGGCAGTGTACGGAGGCGTTTGAATCCCTGTTGAAGCAGTGGTGAGTAGTACTCCGGGGATGTATTGAGTGGCTTGGATGGGTGTCGAGAGATGGGGATACTGACGAGTTCTTTGTGTAGTAATACCCTTGGGAGGCCCGACTATCCGAATGGGTATGGAGGGTATGGGATGGATTCCTGTGTTATGTGGACGATTGATCTTGATCCGGGGGTACGTGTGTTCATCCATCTATCCCCAACACCCCTATCCCCAACATATCACCCCCATCCCCGCCACCTAACACTCAACACGCACCCCAGTCCACTAACCCGCCGCAGAGAAACAACATCGCCATGCCCCCCTCCATCGACAACGAGCGCAACTACTGGATGGGCGTCAACCCCGGCCGAGCCCCCGAATCCTCGGTTTCAACCTACACATGGACGCCGCCGCCCGCGAAGCGCACAGATGATCCTATCATCCCTAGACAAGGTCTCATCATCCCGAAGCCAGGGCTGGAGTGTGCGATGCATCCTACCTCTCCGAATTGTATGAAGCCTCCTTCTCCATGATTTTGGCAAGAAACTGTGCCGTCGATGAGGGGTCTGAGGACCTTGTCGAGCACGATTATCCGGGGAGCCAGACGGACGAAGAATGAGATGTACTTTTACTTTCTACGACGACTGAGATGACACAAGACCTCCAAGTGAGACTTTCATGCAGCAACATCAAAACTACCTTATCAATCTATCTATCTGTCTACTCGCCCAAAGCCTGCCGTTCCGCCCACTCCACCCACCGCCTCACACACTCATCAACCCCCTTAACCCCCTCCTGACTCGCCTCCACCTCAAACCACTCCCGATGCTCCTTCCCACAAGCCCGACAATCTCGCAGGACCCTCTTCTCCGCCATTTCGAGATGAATCAACCGCTCTACACGTTTCACGTAAGGCACGCGGCGGACGACGTCGCTCTGTCGTCGCGGAGAAGAAGATGGAGGAGGCGGTTGTGTGAGGTCAGGGTAGAGTGGTTGATTCGCCTTCCTCTCGGGCGAGGGCTGGGGGGTATTCGAGGGGATGTAGGGATACCATCGGACGAGGTTGAGTTTGTAGCCGCATTGGCGTTGCCATTCGTTCATGCGGCGGGTGATGTTGTTGGCGCGGCCGATTTTGAGCATGATTGTCTTCACTTTCTTCGCTCTTCCGCCTCGGGATGTTTCTCCAAAATCGTCATCGTCGTCGCCGTCGTAGGAGAACTCGGTCATGACGTCGCTGATACGTCTGGAGGTCTCGGGGCGACGCTCTGGTGGGGAGAGGAGACAGCGCGCTGTGCTTTCTGGGGGAGGGTCTTTGGATTGCGGGGTGAGCCAGAAGATGTAGATGTAGCCTTCTTCGTCCGCGGGGCTGATGGGTTTGATGAGTTCGGCTAGGAGGGTTGATGTTGTTTGTGGAGAGCATGTTTGCGGGATCAGGGAGAGTAGATGGTTTGTCTGTGGGTTGGATGATGATCTCTGTTGGTGTGGCCGTGTTGGTGTCTGTGGAGAGAGTGGCGTCCGAGCAGGTATGGGTGTACTTGTAGGTCGACTTGCTTGCGATACTCGAGGTGGTGGAGGTGCAGAAGCTGACACCTGAGAAGGTCGATGAGCCTGCTCTGTCCGCCTGCGATGTCGCACAATCTCCACATAGTCATCGTCCTTGTCACTGGCGACACAGCACAAACTCGCCCAGAACCCCGGTTTCTTCTTCGCCGGCTTCCTCGAAGGTCTCGCAGAAGTCGCGTCGTGCTTCTCCGTCGGCGACACAGGGTAACTCGTCCTGGACGGCCTCTTCGCAGGATCCGCAAAATCCGTCGTCTCAGTCCGTCGAGGCGGTTTCGGCTGTCTCTCAGGTCTGCTATTTCGCTTATTCTGTTGCTCCTCGGGAACACTTTCAATCCCCAATCTCTGCACCAACGTATCGATACTGCTCATCTCTTGCAACGGCACCAGCTCTGCACTTCTCTTCCTTCTCGCTTTCCGATTCTTGTTCACTTCCTGCTGGATCTTCTCCTCCGCCTGATCTTTGTGCTGCCAGCAGTAGAAGTCGGCTTCCTGGACTCGGCCATCTTCCTCGACCAGCGCGACGACGCCGTTCAAGGCGCTGACGTTCGACTTTCTCTTGCCATTGGGGGATGCTAGTGCTCTGCGACAGGGCCTGCCTGAGCTCGTGATTCCTTTGCAGGTTGATGAGGGGTTCTTCGAGTCGTTGCGGCCTAAGAGGGCCTCGGGGGTGTGAGGAAAGTTCGGCATGAGGGGAGATCTGGTGTGTGGAGAGTTTTGCAGCCGCACTCAAAGAAATACATACATACCTACCGCCGTGAACAATGCATTGCGACTTCAGATGTCGGCATCTACAATCTGGAATGATATTGCCGCCGCCGATTGGGAAGCAAGGATGCGTGACGTGGTGAAGAGGCGCGCTTAGGCTGTGAAGTGGCTGGTGACAGCTCAGCCACCGACTTTCATTCTGCACGAGAAAACGTGACCGTGAACTCAATATATAAAGTGAATGTTTCTTCAGTCCATCGCTCGTGGATATGCAGTCATACTACCCGTAAGCATTTCCGTGTCTCATGGCCCCTTGGCGCGCCGTCCTTATCGCCTTCGCTGATGCTCGCTAATAGCCATTCAAGAAATACGCCGTGAAAGTGTTGTCGTTGTCGGTGATCACTGCTCGCCGAACAGCCGCGCGGTGATGTCGCCAATGTACTCCTCCTCCAGCTCGTAGTACTCGCCGTCTGCGTTGTCGATGCCCACAAACTCGAAAGCCGCCACAACCGCGTCCAGATCGAACCCCATCTGCGTAAACTGCTGAATCATCTGCCGGTTGTAGCCCTTGTACGCGCCTCTCCTCTGCTCGGCCTCTCGCCTCTTCCTCTCCTTTTCCTCCGCCTTCCGCTTCTCGGCCGCATCCGAACCACCAGCATCCCCCGAGCTGCTGGCTCCCGACTTTCCACTGCCGGGCGCTGGCCTGGGCGCCTTTGCATATCTCACCGCCCAGTCCTTCGCAACGTGCTTGAATTCTTCCGGTCTCGTAATCAACATGCTAGCAACTTCTGCATCTTGCGGATCCTTAGGCTCTGGGCTGCTCAAGAGACTCTGCAGGCTAATCAAGGCACTCTTGAGTGTGAGAACGGGACTCCACGCGGAGCCGAGTGTGTCCAAGCAGATTGCTCCAGTCTGGGACGATACATTCGGATGCCAGATCTTGGTGATGAACCGCATCTCCGGTGGCTTGAACGGGTATTCTGCAGTTATTCGAATGTCCACCTCATACTGTCCACCCTCGTATGGAGTGTCTGGAGGGCCGCGGAAGTGGCCTTTGAAGTGGGTGAAATCGGTTATGTCCGGACTGCCCTGTGGACTAGTGACGGTGATGCCCGAGTGTGTGTCTTTCAGAATGTCTTGGATCTCTTTCTGCAGACGTCGGTTGCGATTCGTAGCCATGATGGCGGAGGCGGGGCTATTGGAGGATGGCGAGGTGTTGCTCTCGGAAACGTCTCCTCCAATGCCTCGGCGAGGCTCAAGTGATCAGGTATGGTGAGAAGTAGACGGTGGGGTTGGAAATTCGTGAGATATACGGTTCTTGCAGAAGGCGGTGGTCCAGCAAGGTTGCCTCAAGGTGTAGCAAGCCGGAACAGAGCTGATCTCTGTGCGATGGTGTCAGTATTGAACGAGATGATGGAATCCGGAAAGGGTAGGAGTCGTGTGGTAGACGGTAGTGAATGGCGTGGAGTGTCAAGTCTGGCGGTTTTGGTCTGAAAAAGTGAATCAACTCGTGTGGAAGAGGAAGTCGAGCATGTGCCCGAGGCGGCGAGCTTCGGTCAGCTAATCAGCCGAGCTTTACCCGACTCAGGCGCCCTCACGTTGCGTCGACATCACCCAGCTGCCATGAACCAACACCTCCGTCCGCATCGCCATCTTCGCCAACATCAAACCCACAACCCGTCACCCGCCCATATCAAATTTGATACCGCCCAAATCAAAGTACCAGTGCTATTTGATTGACCGGCGATGGTAAGTCTCATCAAACGCGCCGGACACCTGCCACAGCTAACAGCCATCGCAGGGTCAGAATCAGTCCGGCCTTGGAGGCGGTCCTCCAGGTCAAGGCGGCGATGACAAGAAGAAGAGCGGCGATAAGAAGGACAAGCCCAAGTACGAACCACCGCCGCAACCCACCACCCGCATCGGCCGCAAGAAGAAGAAGGCCGCCGGTCCAAACGCCGCTGCCAAACTCCCGACCGTCTACCCAACCGCACGATGCAAGCTTCGATATCTACGCATGCAACGGGTCCACGATCATCTGCTGTTGGAAGAGGAGTTTGTCGAGAATCAAGAGCGGATAAGAAAGGCAAAGGCCGTCAACCAGGCACAACCGCAGTCATCAGGAGGCGACAGCGATGCGCTGGACCGGAACGCAGACGAGCGGAGTCGTGTGGATGACATGCGTGGGTCGCCGATGGGCGTCGGTAATCTCGAGGAACTCATCGATGACGACCACGCGATTGTCTCTTCCGCCACCGGCCCGGAGTACTACGTCTCCATCATGTCCTTCGTCGACAAGGACCTGCTCGAGCCCGGCGCTTCCATCCTGCTGCATCATAAGAGTGTGTCGGTCGTCGGTGTCCTCACAGATGATGCCGATCCCGCGGTTTCGGTGATGAAGCTGGACAAGGCGCCGACGGAGAGCTATGCGGATATTGGAGGTCTCGAAAATCAGATCCAGGAAGTCCGCGAAGCTGTCGAGCTGCCTTTGCTTCATCCTGAGCTGTACGAAGAGATGGGAATCAAGCCACCAAAGGGTGTCATTCTCTACGGAGCACCGGGAACTGGCAAGACGCTACTCGCCAAAGCCGTCGCCAACCAGACTTCGGCCACCTTCCTGCGTATCGTCGGTTCAGAGTTGATTCAGAAGTATCTCGGTGATGGTCCTCGATTAGTGCGTCAGCTCTTCCAGACTGCCGCCGAACACGCGCCGTCCATTGTCTTCATCGACGAAATCGACGCTATTGGCACGAAGCGGTACGAGAGCACGAGTGGTGGTGAGCGCGAAATCCAGCGGACTATGCTTGAGCTCCTCAACCAGCTGGACGGTTTCGACGACCGTGGCGATGTCAAGGTCATCATGGCCACGAACAAGATCGACACTCTCGACCCTGCCCTCATTCGACCAGGTCGTATCGATCGCAAGATCCTTTTCGAGAACCCCGACCAAATCACCAAGCGCAAGATCTTCACCCTGCACACTTCCAAGATGAGCTTGGCCGAGGATGTTGAGTTGGATGAATTCATCAACCAGAAGGATGACTTATCTGGTGCAGACATTCGTGCCATCTGCTCCGAAGCCGGTCTGATGGCTCTGCGTGAGAGGAGAATGCGCGTTAACATGGCGGACTTCCGCACTGCACGTGAGAGCGTGCTCAAGACCAAGACGGAGGGTGAACCAGAAGGACTGTACTTGTAAGAAGAGAGGGGTGGGATGACGGGGAGCGAGGCTTTGCGTGGTACATATGGCCACGCTTTAGAGAGCATCGTATTATCAAGAGTAGCTAATCGCGAAGTAGAGCAGACCTGCAGCAAATAGAATGGTCTGCCCTTCACAGGCATGTCATGAGCTTCGAATCGATAATCTCTACCTCTATCATCACAATCTACTCCAACCTATACTTCTCATTCAACCACCTCCAACTCTCGATCCCCCTCCTCGCCAGACTTTCAGGCACGTCCGCGTCCGGATCCGCCATATCCCTCGAAAACAACTCCATCGACACCCAACCCTCATACTCGAGATCTCTAAACAACACATCCAAGACCCTCAAAATCGGCAAATACCCACCCTCCTCCCCAGCAAACAACCTCGCATTCCGACTCCACGACATCCTCGCCGGCTGATCCTCCTGATACCACGGATGGCCTTCGACCAAAGGCTCCTCCATCCTCTCCGCATCTACGACCTGCGCGAAGAAGATCTTTTGCGGATCGATCGTCTCCTTCAGGCGGGCGAGGCTTTGATCGAGGTCTTCGTCCGCCGAGGGAGTCTTCCCCGAGGGCGCGGCGGGATCCGCCCAGATTCTCCCCACGATGTTGAAGGTGTCGAGGCAGAAACCGAAGTTGGGTCGGTCGACTTTCTGGATGATGGACCAGACTTGCTCCCATGTATCTATGTACGTCCCCCATGCGAGATTCTCGTACGCGAACCGCACAGGTGGATTCTCCCGCGCTCCCAGGTCTGCGACTTCGAGCATGTCGCGGACGATGGCGTCGATGTCGGAGGTGATGTCCACGGCGGGGAGGAAGTTCGAGGGGATGAGGATGAGATCCGTGCCCAAAATCTCCACGAGGCGAAACCACACCTTCAACTTCTCGATGCGCTTCGCATGTTCCCCCCGATCCACCAACCCCTCATAAAACATAAACGGCTGCAGACAAATCACCCGCAACCCAAACTCCAGACACCAATTCCTTACCTCCCCGGCCGTGCGGATCAGATCCTCGTCCGCAACGGGCGTGTTCGAGCCGGTGGAGTCCTTGTTCGTGGCGGAGGTGTTGTAGGTGGAGGCGAGGTATCCGAGGTCTTCGTAGAAGATTTCGATTCCTTTGAAGCCGGCCTTGGACGCTTCGGCGAGTTTGGTGAAGAGGGCGTGTTCCCAGGCGCGACCGAGGGAGAGGGAGGCTGTGCCTGGTTTGCAAGAGGGCATGGTTTGTTGTTGGGTTTAGTGGGTGGGTGGGATTGTTTGGGAGGCTTGTTGTTCTTTATGGCTTTTTGGATTATGTTTTTCTGGAGACGCTAGTGCAAGGTCGTTGATGTTGTGGCTATTGAGTTGTGAAACGCAATGTGTATTTGGTTTCGTTTTGGGAAAGAGAGCAGCATCGAGGAGGGTTGATTATTTTATGGGAGCTGTAGCTGAGGAAGTTGAATTGTTCATCGGAGAAAGAAAGGAGAAGTCGTTTTGGCAGAGAGTATCTATCGTCGTCGGAAAAAGAACAACAATTACAGCTATCATCTGCATGTGAGCTAGCTATGTGGAGACATTCATGACCACTAGCTTCGAAGCTTATTTCAACCAGGACGACCAACATATACTACAGAAAGAGATCATTCAACATCGACCTTCTCCCGCTTAAAGATATCAATCACATCTCGACATTCCACTCTCCCTCAAGCCCTCTCAAACCCCTCCCACCTCGAGAAATCCCCCGTCTCCACCCCAAACAAATCCAACATCCTCCCAACCATCTGATCCACAACCTCCCCAATCGACGCCGGCTTCGTATAAAACGCCGGCACAGTCGGACAAACCACCGCCCCAGCCCTCGTAACCTCCAACATATTCCTCAGATGGATCTCACTCAACGGCGTCTCCCTCACCGCAAGCACCAACCGCCTCCGTTCCTTCAGCATCACATCCGCCGCGCGTGTGATCAGATCCTCGCAGTACCCCATATTCACGCCCGCGAGGGTTTTCATGCTGCACGGGATGACGATCATGCCGTCGGCGTGGAAGAAGCCGCTGGAGACGGGCGCGCCGAGGTCGTGGATGCTGTAGACGTGGTCGGCCAAGGCGCGGACGTTGGCGGGCGTGTAGTCGGTTTCGTATTTGATCGTTTCTTCCGCCCAGTGGCTGAGGATGAGGTAGGCTTCGACTTGGAGGCGGCGGAGGGCGAGGAGGAGTTTGATGCCGAGGATGGCGCCTGTTGCGCCGGTCATGGCGACGACGAGGCGCTTGCGACGGGGTGTTGGAGTACTTGTAGGGATTAGTGTGGGTTTGATTGAGGTTTCTGTTGTTGTGGTCGGCGGTGGTGCAGTCGTTGATGGGCGTACTGCGGAACTTGCTGGTCTGGATAGCCCGAACATGTTTGGTAGATTCTGTATTGATGTTGCGATGAACCAGTAAGTTTGACAGATAATATGTTGAAGTCGATGGACGGAGCTAGGTGTTGCTGTGATGGACGATTGGACTGCAGTGGTCTTCAGAGGTATAAAAAGCTGCTCACATCTCCGAGGAGAGCGAGGTCGCCGCCGTCCCGGTTGAAACGCGGACTCACCAAGTGGGCCTATCTCCCCAAATCGTCCATCTTTCTTGGATGCCATACCAGAATTCTGATCTAGATGTCAGCGGGTTTGAGCGGCGGCATCGAGGAAGGGAAATTTGTCCTACCCCTGTGCTCCGAGACGAGCCGAAGCGACCGAAGCCTTGCGAGGCCCCCGAGCGGCTGAGGTATAAGATGGCACGCAAGCTGCGCCTTCAAGTTTCTCCAAGCATTGAACGCACATCTGTGTACAGCCTCGAAAAGCCGAACCCTGAAAACGACAGCCAGCATGTCTCTCGCCAAGAGCAACCACCTTTCGCAGTCCAACCAAAACCTGCCACACATGAACTTCCGCTCCTTCGTCGAAGCGCTACGACAGGATGGCGACTTGATCGAGATCAATGACGAGATCGACCCTCACCTCGAAGCCGGAGCAATCATCCGCAAAGTCTGCGAGACAGACGAAAAAGCGCCACTCCTAAACAACCTGAAGGGAAGCAAAGACGGCCTGTGGAGGATCCTTGGAGCTCCGGCTTCGTTGCGAAGAGATCCAGAACAGAAGTATGGTCGAATTGCTCGACATCTGGGCCTTCCTCCCAACGCCTCCATGAGGGATATCCTAGACAAGATGTTGTCCGCCGCGCATGCCGAACCGATTCCTCCGAATGTGGTGCAAGACGGTCCCGTGAAAGAGAACAAACTCGTCGACGGAGAATTCGATCTATCAACTCTTCCCGCACCGTTGCTGCATCAAGCGGATGGTGGAAAGTACATTCAAACATACGGTATGCATATCGTACAGACGCCCGACGGAAAATGGACGAACTGGTCCATCGCTCGGGCCATGGTCCACGATAAGAACCACTTGACGGGCTTGGTGATCGAGCCGCAGCACATCTGGCAGATCCACCAAATGTGGAAGAAAGAAGGCAAGGATGTGCCGTGGGCGCTCGCGTTTGGTGTGCCTCCAGCGGCGATCATGGCCGCAAGCATGCCCATTCCAGATGGCGTCACGGAAGCTGGATACATTGGTGCGATGACCGGGACCGCTCTCGATGTCGTGAAGTGCGAGACCAACAACCTTTATGTCCCTGCGAGCGCCGAGATTGTGTTCGAAGGGACGATTTCCATCACTGAGACAGGGCCAGAAGGTCCATTCGGAGAGATGCACGGTTACGTCTTTCCTGGTGATACACATCAGTGGCCAAAGTACAAGGTCGACACTATTACGTACCGTGACGATGCAATTCTACCAGTCTCTAACTGCGGCCGAATCACCGACGAGACCCATACTCTGATAGGATCTTTGGCCGCCGCGGAGATCCGTCAAATCTGCCAGGACGCTGGACTGCCCGTCACAGACGCATTTGCCCCTTTCGAGTCCCAAGTCACATGGGTCGCGCTCAAAATCGACATCTCCCAGCTCCAGAAGATGAACGTGAAGCCGCAGGAATTCCGCAAAGCAATCGGAGACTTGATATTCTTTTGCAAAGCAGGATACACCATCCATCGCTTGATCCTTTGCGGGCCAGATATCGATGTCTACTATTTCAAGGATGTCATGTTTGCCTTTTCGACTAGATGCCGGCCACAGACAGACGAGACTTTCTACGATGACTGTCGCGGGTTCCCTTTGATCCCGTATATGAGCCACGGCACTGCTTCGCCAGTTCAGGGTGGTAAAGTCGTGTCGGACGCGCTGATGCCTTCGGAGTATCAAGGCGAGCAAGACTGGCAGCAGGCCTCGTTCAAGCATTCGTACCCGCAGTCGTTGCAAGACAGCGTGAACGAGAGGTGGTCGACGCAGTGGGGGTTCGGCAAATGAAACATCCGGTCATTGGGGTCAAATGAAAGCTGAAAGGTAGCCTTGATAAGAAATTGAAGTCCTGCATCAGAACGTCGTCGGATCGAACCATGTCGGATCAAGTTCTGAAGTAAGCTGCGATGGGTTCACGGGATCTGCTTTACTTAGCATGTATAGATCATGATAGGAGTCCGTCCGACGTACCCCATAGAATATAGTCAAATAGATCCAATGGAGATAGATCGGGCTGCTGTGTTCCTTGCTGTGGCTGGTCGCCATCGAGTCGAGGTTCAGAGGGGCCGGTATTCGGGCTGAAATTTGTTGGTCAGTGGTCTATGTCACTGTGTTCTTGACTGCTAGAAGACTTACTCCAAAATATTAGCGCTCGTTCCAGAGTAGTTGGGAGTAATCGAAGAAACATCTTGCACATATGTCCCGCCGCGAGGCGCTTGCATCCGTGTTGTTCCAGGTGTATTACTTTCCTTGATCTTCTTGAGCTCAGCAATCGCTCTGATGTGTGGCGCGGACAGATTGATGCTCCCTTGTGACCCGTCCTCGGAAAAGACGTCAAGGATCTCATTCTGCCATTGCCGCACATCTGCTTCTTTGTAATCATCACCTAGAAGGCCCAACAGCAATGCCGAGCTAAGACCATTGTGAACTAGAGCCCACGATCTCGCTGCATACGTAGTGAGTGTGTTGAGCTTGACAAACGACTTCACGCATTCTAGAAGGTTGTCGAGACAGATTCGGCGGAGTTCGGGCTGAATGGCAGGCCGGCGAAGGGCGGGTCGACAAAGCCATGCAACCATGAACGAGCTTTGCAGGCTCAGTAGGTGCTGCTCGCAGCGATCTCGAATGTTTTGGGAGACACCAGACCTGACTGCTTCACCCAGGTACGGTCCTCTGATGTCCTCAATCTTTTGCATGGAAGTATTAATATCAGCAAAGTCCATATTCTCTGTGGCATTGGAGTTCCCAATGGTGGCACTGTCTAGCATTACGCTGCATAAGAGATTCATCTTTTCTGCGAACGTTGGAAGCGCCGCTGGTGTCGTTGGGTTCCATGGAAACATCGTCACTGGAGGTCGATCGTAACACGATGATAACAAGCTGTCTTGCCTCACCAGGGCTGACCTACTCATAATCAGTACCTTACGGGGCGACGAGTCACAGGGCATGATATCATACCATAGTTGCCACTCTGACGAAGCTACGTTTTTAACCCTGTGCAGGCCGAGACTTTGAGCCATTATCACAGTCGTGCCCAACAGTATCCAGGCAAGCTCGGCATTCATATCGTTCTGCAAGACTTGGCCAAGTACCAGCAGAGTTTGCACACATATGGCCGTCGGACGGACGAGAAAATTCACAACGCGAAGGCATTGAAAGGAGAGTCGTGCTGCAAATGTCAGTATACGAGTAGCATCAGAAATAAGGGCGCATTGTTGAAGCATACCGTACAACCGAGACTTTTCTCGCCGCTGCATGAGCTCGCCTTCTGAGAATTGCTCGCCATATGATAGCACTGCGAACAGCAGAGAAAGCCAGGTCATTGGTTTCTGATAATATGTCCTCTCACGATCACCAATGTGCTGGCTCTCAGGACCTCCACGAGAAGGAGCCTCGATAAATCCGCAAAGCTCCACTTCAAAGGCATCGATGTTCGTCAGGACAGGCGAAAAGGCGTGTGCTTCCTTGTAACGTTGAAATAAGCTGGTGATAGTCTTTTGGTCAGTAAGTTCACTTTCACACATGAATGTAGCAAGCTCTCCAACGACCAGCAAGACTTCGAGATTTGTCGCCCGACCAAGTCTGGAAAAGTCAAGCTCTCGAAACATCGACGATACTTACTATATAACATGGCGGTCCGCTGGTAGAGCTTGGTACAGCTGTTGAGCGATTTCATCTTGGGATGCCTCAATAGGTGATGAAAATGGATAGGCAGATGCAGTCTTCCCGATGCCCATCATTGGCATGAATGCTTGCTCTACGCTTTGTCCAACGCCTTCCTGAGAGGCGTGATCGCGAAGCAGTGTGGGTATAGCGTTAGAACCAAGGTACGGACTCTTGCCATTCTCGGTGTTGTCGTTATTGTCGGATTCACGACCGGCAATCTCGAGTGGCGAAGGCACGCTGGGTTCTTGGTCGAGGTTCTGCGAAGCCGAAATGGGCCGCTCGTCTGCGATATGAGCAACTAGGTCTCTGGTACTGTGCAAAGATGTGGCTTCCGGTGGAGCAGGTAGCGGCACCGAGGACTGCTGGACTTGGGTCGCGGGACCGTCATCGTACGTACACAGATCGGGGTAGGATTTGATGCATCTGTCGCAAGGTGCGCATTTATCGCACTTGACTTTCCTCGTTCGACACGGATGACAGCTTTGCCTGGATCTCTTCTTGCGTTGACGCAGCAGTTGACGCGCGGCTACATCGCTGCGTTCCATGGTTTGTCGCAGGTTCGTGGAAGAAAAGTCTTGGAGGTGAGGTCAACAGCCGAAGATGGCCGAGTTGATCCGAACTTATTTCTAATTAGGAAGCCAGCAAATCAGGCTGTGACTGCAGGTACCTCCCCTCGAGGCACATGTGTGCATGTGGGCAACGAATATCAATAATGCGGAACTTGAAAATCAAAGAATCGTTCGATACTAAGTTAGTAGGCGACGAGAAGTTTTTAAAGAATCACGCCAAAATACATAGTGATGGAAGCCTCGCAACAAGCAGTCGATCAATCTAAGGAAAGAATCGAATCGCAGCCTTCTGAATCTTCCGCTCATTGAAAGCCTCATATGCCTCCGGTGCCTCCTCGATGGACACAATCCTGTCAAACACAAAGCTCGGCTTTGCTTTGCCACTTTGGATGAGCGCCAGTAGCTGTGGGTCGACGCCAAGGTTGACGATACCACCCTTGATGCTGACATTCTTCAACCACCAGGTCGCGATATCAAACTGGATATGTCCTCGCGCCAGGGATATGAGCGGTTCTCCTTTAGATGGCTTTGCAGCCCAGTATACACCTGTCAATGCGATGCCTCCACCTGCGCTAACCAGTGCGATGGCGTCGTTGACAATGAATGCTTCGTCTGGTTTTCCCTCAACATTGACGCACTCGAATCCACAGCAGTCGCTCACGCGTTTCACGCCATTGGGCTCCAGTTTGCTGATTTGCTCCGATGGTAAGCCTTTGCTGAGATCTATTGGGATCGCGCCGATTTCTTTGGCTTTGGCGAGACGAGAGGGAATCCGGTCAATGGAGTAGACTTTGCTCGCACCGCGTAGAATGGCAGAATATGCGGCCAGGAGGCCCATAGGCCCTGCTCCATAGACTGCCACGACGTCGCCTGCTTCGAAGCCGGTCTGCGATATGGACCACCAGCCTGTGGCGAAGATGTCCGAGAGTAAGACGTAATCTAGCTCATCGTCGAAGCCAGAGGGAAGGCGTCTCAGAATCCCTGAGTCCGGTGCGACCACATATTCGGCTGTCAAAAATTTTAGCAGGTTCAGTTGCCTTTATGTCCCTTAACATACCTTGAAGACCTCCAATGTTAGGACCCAGGATGTCTCCAAAGCCGTACGCTTCTGCAGTTTCACCAGGCTCAAACCCTTCACCGGCAATGACAATAACGCGGTCTCCAGGCTTGTAATCGGTGACATCTTTACCTACTTCCGCGACAACACCGACGCCCTCATGGCCCAGAATGTAAGGGATGTCATCTGCGCCGAAGATTCCGTGATACGTGTGGAGATCTGTACCACAGACTACGATCAAGCATCGTTAGCAACTGAGGTTATGTGCGAGGGGGCATGAAGGAGGCTCACTGGCTGCAGTGGTGATTCGAATGAGTAGTTCGGAGTCCTTCTTGATCTGTGGTTTGGGTACGTCGCGAACGGAAACATGGCCTGGACGACCTTCCCACAGGACGGCCTTCATAGTGCCGTGCCTATAATCGAGACCGCTTTCGCCATTCAAGGAGTCATGGTACTTGTGGCCGTTGGTCTTGCTTTTGAGATTCCCATCTTCCGGGTTGGTCGGTCGCTCAACGACTTGTGACGTAGGTGATGCTCTGATGGGGAGGATTGGGTGCGGCATGGTCAACTTTCGAGAGCAAAGCATTCGAGGCTGCCTGGTAATGATGAGCAATATCGACCTGGCGATTGAGAGCACTTATATAGTCGAGGTTCACCGCTCGCGGCCTCATTGGTAGCCTGACCAACATCAACAACGTCAATTCTCCGGTCAGTGTGGTCAGCGATCAAAGCTAGTGAGGCTGTGGTATCGTCAGAGAGCTTTGCTCTTTCCCTAATAGCCCCGTATGTACCGGCCAATTGAATCACAACTGGCAGCAATTCGAACATCGGCCGTAGACCACGAGGTGTCGCAATGACCACCTTTGTCCGACTCCGGTCAGGTCACATAGTGCTCGCCTGAGTTGTAGTTCTAAGCGCTAGGCTTGGCCGGTTTAATGAGTTCGTATATTTCAGCTGTAAGCTGACCAGCTCGTATCAGCGCTAGACGATAGTCAAGAGCGTCAAGCTAAATTGAAAGCTTGTGATTACAAGTGGCGGCTGTGATGGCGAGGCCGACTGAATTGCCCAACTGTGAGATGGTGTTGAATACGCCCCCTGCCAATGCCTGCGACTCGGCAGGAAAAGCGCGGCAAATGACGAGGCTGGACATTGTCCAGAGTACTGAGAGGGAGAAAGTAGGTCAGTATGTACTTCTCTCCTAATGTTCCGGCGAGCTTAACGACTTACCGTCAGCATTGACGGGAATGAGCGACATGGCAACGAATGCCGCCGACCAGAAAGTCCATTCAGGGGAGATCACCGCCATCAAAATTGGAGCGACGGCGGTAATGACTGCCGAGACACCGAGGAGGGTATTGACATTCGCCCTTGCAACCAGAAACCCGGCGATTGGGTTGACAAGCAGGCCAACGACAGTCATCGGTAGGAAGCGAAGGGACGTCTGTAGGGGCGAAATGTCCTGAACCTCCTGAAAGAAGAGGGTCGATATGTATTGGAAGGCATTAAAAGCAGCCCAGGTGAAGAACATAGAGATGCAGACGCAAGTGAACGACAGATTTTGCCATAATCCATTTTAAATCAGCGCGACTTTCCCTTGCTTCACCCTCCAGTTGACCCAGAGAGAAAACACAGGGAGCAGCAGCACCGAAATCGCATCAAGGCGATGATGTGGGCTTGCAGGATGTGTTTGTAGTCTGTTGTGACCATGCTATGAGAACGGATATTTAGCGTTTGGAAAGCACAATTGCAGCATAGGAGTTGTACTTACGCAAGAACATAAGACAGCAACGCGAAGGCGATGGCCAGAATTGCCACACCCATCCAGTCAATGCCGTATGCCAGTCGGCGCCATGACTCTTTGGACAGCTTTGTAGAAGATGGATCCGAGGGGAGTACGAAGACCGACGCCACGAAGAGCATCGCATCGGCAATGGCAGTGATATAGAAGCCCCAGCGCCATCCGATCGTATCAGTCAGGACGCCCCCGAGAATGAGACCCATCGCATATCCGAGAGGCTGACCCATGCCAGTCGCCGCAAATGCAATGTTTCGACGAGGCCTGAGGGGAAGGACGCGGTAACCAGGGACATCGACGTCGGGAGACACATAGCAACAAATAGTCCTAGAATGGCACGCAAAATAATGAATTGATTGTCCGTCCGAGCGAGGCCGCATGCTAGGATCAACGGACACGAGATCCCGCTCCCAAGCAACCACATCCTTTTCGAGCCCACGACGTCGGCCACGGCACCGAATGCTAACAGCGTGCATCCTGCTGCCAGCGCATATACTGATGCTGGCCAGAAGATTAGTTCACGGCTGAGGTGGATGTCTGTCGAGATTTGAGGGAGTGCGGTGGTCAAAATTCCTCATCCCGAGACGCTGATGAAGGTGACTCCAGATAGAACAACGATGATGCAAAAAGCTTCGAAGTTGGTTTTGTCCGACTTTTCTGGGGCCGAGTTCGTTTCTGAAGGTGGTTTCTGGCTCAAATCTGTCCTCGAACCTGCTGCTGCGTCAGACATCTCAATCTCCGTCTCTTCAAATGCAACAGGGGGCGCTGTTGTCGTTAAAGTCGTTTTCGTCATGATGGGCGGGGACTATTTGATATCAGTCGGAGTGAGGCTGATTGGGCGAAGCAGAAAGACTTATACCATGAATGAGAGCGTTTGTCGACGTGTGGCTGATATCGAGATTGAAGACTAGACCTGACCTGACCGCTTGATAAGCATAACGCCATATTGCGAGAAAAGCTCTATGTGCATATGCAGGAAAACTTCCATATCGGTCACCCAGGCGGAAGTCTCCCGCTTCATCGAATCGACTGTGAATGGAGCATGATGATGATGGCTGGACTTAGCAAGGCTGTAGATAGTGATGCTTCGTGTTTGGTACCTTTTGTCCAACATGGCTGTTCAGTCTGATGACAGCGGGGTCGGTGTCTTTCATGTTGTTGTTCTCCATATGCTCCTGTCTATCGCCTGGACTTCCCGCACTTCAATCTACATGGCAAGTCTCTGCTTCCACAGGTACTCATAGTGCGGCATAGCCAGGTCGACCAACTCTCGCACAAGTCGGGAGTCCTCTCCGAACTCGGCATCCCACTTGACTTGCTCTGCCTGCAAATCAATGTCCTTCGCTTTGCGGCCCGCCTTTGCTCCCGATGAGTCCAACAGATTCTTCTGCACGTTACGCAAAAGCTCAGGCATCTCTTCATCGAACGTTTCTGCGTCCTTCTCCCATGATAGCACCACTTCGGCCGGATTGAGGCCAATCTTATCGCATAGATGCCGCACGTAAGCTTCGTCTCCGAGGAAGTCTTCTGCGTCGACGACAGCGGGTATCACACCCTTGCTTTGATACCAATCAAACAATTCCCGAGACCATGTCAAACTCCCGACCAAGTAGTAGATACTCTTGCCACCATCACCAAATCCGCCAAACTTCAAGTTCGAAGTAGTAGCACGTACAGCCGACGGAATCCACAGGTAGGGGTGACGAATGACGAAAAAGGGCCGAACACCAGAATGGAGGAGAAGCTCATCTGGAACCAAGACTTGCTTTTCGGTAGCGAGCTGGTCATCCTTTGGAGATTTGAGATACTCAAGGGCACGTTCCCTTGAGGTGATGAAGTACGGATGAGTGTGCAAGAAAAGCTTCTGGTTCTGTTGAAGAGAATCAGCACCCAGTTGCCCATAACAACGAGAGACAGTTACTCACTTTGCTTGCCGCAGCGTCAAGCTCCTGCTTCCACCGATTACATTCCCTTGCAACAGCAGCCTCGTACTTTGCTTTCTCAGGCTCGGGCATGCCATCAAGACAAGACTTTTTGCTCTCCCACTCTGCAGCTATGGGGATTGACTCCTGGAAAGCATGACCAAAATAGACAGTATCCGATTGTTTCGAAAGCACCCGCTCCAGGACATGGCATGCCGTCCGAGGCTGCGAGAACATGAGGACTTGCGTCGTCATCATGGGCCAGAGTTCTTCGAGGTTGCTGCAGGTTGAGAGTAGTTTCGAGACGTGGGGCCCAGCTGTCATATCAAAGTGGGAGAGCAAGGACTCAAAGGAGTTATATGTACCTGCGAGAAGCGCTGCCGTGCCTTCGGCCGCACCATGTGCGGGCCGATTGCCTATTCGGCCATCCATAAGGCATAGTCCCGGTTCTGGTGGCATGTGTCATCGGAAGCGACCTGGTGTATCTCAACAGCCCAAATTCCTATCTCGTTTGACGCTCATGGCATTTGCCCTTGTCGTTAGAGGAAAGTAGAAGGAGCTGAGGGGATGAAGAATCGCGATAACCCCGAGCTCCCAATACGTTGGGCTCTTGGCTGTGAACGATGTCAGCATAGGCTGTGGGAGGTTAGTGTCAGGGACACAAGACACTATAGGGTTGCGTACGAGTTCTACAAGCTCTAATTCATGGTTTAGGAAGGCCACCCGTTCCAAAGGGAGGACACTTAACCCAACTCATACCGAGTTCCACCATGAATTAGATTAGCCTTGCCAGCGGCTCCAGTTGTATCAGTCGCGCTCGACAGTGGGCTAGGATTTGATCCGATGTGAGCGTTCAAGAGATGTCAAGAGGTTACAAGCGTAGGATGCAAGGGTAGGGCAGGAAAGGAAAAGTTCTTTACTAATGCGAGATGATGATCACCATTTTTGCGCCAAGCAAGGGAAATCCCGGAGTATATCTTAGCACCGCTAGCAGTACATTTAGTACTATTCCAAACACTTAACCTCTTGCTTCTTTGATAGTTAACTTATACCTTAAAAGGGGACAGCCGTGAGCAGGACGAAGCACCCAGAACAAGAGCAAGGCGCTCGAATGGCGCGAGAGAATGAGGGTGGGACACATGAAATACATGTACACTTTGGCATCCACAACCACAAAAAGCACTACCCTGAAACCGCTTCAATCACATCAGAGCCAATTGCCATCCATCATAGGGACACCGATCCTCGCTCGAACACAGCACTCGCTACCTATGGCCTCCCAACCCCTACGCGTTCCACACCCAGGGCACCAAGAGCAATGTCAACTTGTCGGCTCGCTCCGATAACACCGGAGTCGATATCAGCTTCTCAAGCAAAAGGCAACAGGCTCAGGCGCCGATTTTTTTACTTGACTTAATCAAAGCCTCTGCCTGGCTCAAGATGCTGAGCCATCACAAGGCTGTGGGGGGAACTCTCGCGTTCCAGAATCAGTAATCGGCTGCGCCGACAGCACGCGCGGCCCGGAACAGGCTTCTTTCAACCAAGCTAGACATGCCCAGGGCTCGCTTCCTGTCATTCGCACACAGATATCCGGGGAATTTCTGCCGGAACGCATCGAATCGACTTTCCAGTTCTTGTAAAACTACGTCCGTGTACGTCGTCATTTTCTGCCGTATCTGAAAGTTCGGAAGCTTCTCCGAGGCCGCAAGGGGCGAATCCACTGTGCAAGAACATCTCGACTGCCATATCAGGGTTCAGAGACGCAATGTACATGCTGGTCTTTCCAAAAGCATTCTAAAACGAGCGGCTTATGATGGTCTCAATAGAAGTCATCGAAACCTTTCAAGTATACCCGTCAAGCAAACCTTGACGAGGCCAATCACCAGACAGACGATTGTTGCCACAATTCCCGCATTGCACAGCGATCCCGTACCTCCATCTCTCACCATGAATGGCCACAAGGAAACATCCGGGCAACAGTCACGCTTCGACATATTCGAACCCGCCGGGCCATCTTCGACTTCATCGTCAAAGGCCTCACTTGCGCAAACCTGTCTGAAGGTTGGGGCTGCGTTGACCTTTCTATCGACTGCAGCATGGTATGAAACTATTGATGCATCCGCATTGACGAGGTAGCTGACCAGTAATCCAGTCTACATGTCCAGCAATGGCTTGGTGCTCCACTTTACTTTTTGAACGGCCGGTGGTACCACGCCTGGCAAGCAGTAGTAAAGCAGTCTACTGCCCTACTCATACTCGGCTTCAACCAAGTGTGTGCACCTACAACAGTTCGCATCGGCGGTGACGCTAGCGTTGCCGGGCAGATACGTGGTGGAAAGAGACTCCAACTTGATTTTCCCGATCGCATGGTCTTGATTGCAAACCATCAGGTAAGTTTCAGGTATGCTGCGTGCACTTGGTAGCCGTCGCTGACATCTCCAGATCTACACTGATTGGATATTCTTTTGGTGGATTGCTTATACAGCCGGAAAACATGGCCATTTCTTCGTCGTTCTCAAAGACGCTTTGCAAAGGATTCCGCTTCTGGGATGGGGAATGAAGTTCTTCTCTTGGATTTTCCTATCTCGAAATTGGGAGGCGGACAGAGTGATATTCGAAGGGGGTATAGAACGCCTGGCGGACATCAGAACACGCGATTCAATGTGGCTGCTTCTCTTTCCCGAGGGCACCAACATGTCGAGGAACGCCCGTGCTGCCAGTCAGAGATGGTCGAGCAAGAGCGGTACTGCCGACCTTAAGCATGTTCTGTTGCCGAGAAGTCGTGGTCTACAGTGCTGCCTACAAGGATTGTCCTCTACAGTGGACTGGGTGTACGACTGCACTATTGCATATGATGGCATTCGAGTAAGTACCCGCTCCAAATTTTTGAGATCAACGCTAACAGTATTCAGACCAGGAGAATATGGCCAAGAAGTACATAGCATGAAAAAATTGTTCATCGAAGGTCGCAAGTCACCTCGAGTTCATATGCACTGGCGTCGCTTTGTCATGAAGGACATTCCGTATGACGATCCGAAAGCTCTGGAGACATGGATCCTTGAACGATGGATTGAGAAGAACGAGCTCCTTGAGCACTTCCAACAAAATGGTATCTTTCCTACTCATGAGGGATACACCGTTTCCAAGGTTGAGATTCAGAACTGGTTGGAAACCGTACAGGTTTTCGGAGGTGTTGCTGCCGTTGTGGCAGTTTGGTGGATTGGCAAACAGTTATATGGTCATGTTGATAGCATCGTACGTGTGCCACGGTGAATTTGGCCTTGGACGTACGTACATGCAGCTGTAGTGCATCGTTTGACGACACGGTTTCTTACTTCTAGCTTGTCAGATTACCCGCAATAAAGAAATGAATGTCCTACGGTGAGCAGGACACTCGGGATAGCGCAAGGAGAGGTCTAACTCTGAGAAAGGCCTCCTTACCCCTTAGCAACTTCTTCTAAATATCGACTTCATTGCCCTCGACCCAAGCCTTACATTGCCAATACAGCAGGTCATGCTTCTCGCCGCAGATTTGACTCCCACCCTCCGCCCGCTTATCTCTTCGATGCCCTGGCATATCTTTCATAACCTTCACGCACATGGTCAACTCCTGCAAGTACGCCAAGTGGCGATATCCAGGAGGGTACTCCATCAACTTCTGATAATCCAGCTTCGGTACACGATCCGGCGTTACAGGGATGAGTTTGTCCTGCAAAGATCAATAAGCCCAGAAAATCAAAACTTCCTCCAGGAACGATCAATCCTACCTTCTCATACCAATGCCTCACAAACCTCGCCCTCCACTGCCCCTCAGCACCAGCACCAGCACCCTTCTCCCAAAAGAAACAAAACCGACAATCACTCTCCGCATCCACCTCAATCCCACCCTCAAGCACAAACCTCTGCGTAATAGTCGCCTTCATCTTCGTCACCGCCCTCCGTCCCTCGGTGTCAATATCCGTACTAACCCCATGACACCGATGCATGATCCACGCTCCACCATCCATGCCCCGTTTCGACGCCTCGATGAAATCTTTGAAGTGTGTGCGGCCCGTCCAGGTCGTGTAGATGTAGGCGTCCGGGTGGAAGAGGGAGGCGAGGTTTTCCCATTCGCAGGCGTCCCGGTAGAGGGGCCAGCCTTCGGCTAGTTCGCGGAGTTTGAGACGTTCGAGGAGGAGGTCTGTAGGGCCGTTGTTGCGGATTGCTTTGTCTGGCCGGGAGCCTGGAGGGAGGCTGTGGAGGTCTGGCATACTTGGGGAATTTTTGTGGTCGCAGACTCGTTAGGTGGGATTGATATGAAGAGATAGAGGGGACGGGCGATGATGTCTCGAAGTCATTCGCATTATTAGAGTGATATGTAAGTCTTCTGATATATCGGAATTGCTTCCTGCCTTCCCCATAGCCTTCTCTACATCCCGACCCAACGAGCCGGCTAAATCCTGAGCCGAAAGCGGAAGGAGCGGGTGAAACGGACACATACCTGTCAAAGAGTAAGCATTGGCTGTCTGCAAGATGTCTAATCATCCTCTATTACTCTAGACTGTAGGGCTCTCAAATTATGTGTATGTGTCTTGGTCCGAGCCGAGAACAACGTCTGGTCATTCAATCAATCTCAATCCTGATCTTCCCAACCCCTCGATCAACACAACTCTGCAAAGCACTCTTCTTCTCCTCCGCTTTCAACACGGCACTTTTGAAATCCACTTTCCCATTGCACAACGTGACTTTACAAGCGCCACAGCCTCCATTCTTGCAGGAGAACAAAACATCAAAGCCAGCATCATTCAGCACATCCAGGAGACTTTGATCCGAAGGTACCTTGAGCGTCTCATGGCGATCAGTCTCCGGCTCATCAACTTCAACTTCGAATTCCTGTCCTAGATCATCGCCACCCGGAGCAGAGAAGTCCTCGAAATGCACCATGTGCTCGGGATAGCCTAGCTCTGCGCCACGCTCTTCACAGGCTTTCATCATTCTTGAAGGACCGCAACTGAAGATGCGGGCAGGGCAGGTACCGTGTCCGAGAGATGGTATCACTTTGTTGATGTCCAATCGTTCGTCTCTTGACTTTGCGTAGAGAGTGACTTTGTCGACAGGGATCTCGTCGAGGAAAGCCGCGTCCTCTGGACTTCTTACGGCGTAATGGACATGGTACGGTAGGCCTTTCTGCTCCCAATCTCGTATCGACGGCATAAAGGCAGTGACTCCAATGCCACCGATAATTATTAATCTTTCCGCGTTGCTCCCCTCCTCTTCACACGTCTTGTCGTTCTCAACCGTTTTGGGATTCGCCCCCGGCGACATCTCAATGCTATCCCCAACCTTGAGCTTCTTATGAAGATACGCCGATCCTCCTCGAGAGTGATCATCGAGCGCAACACCGAGACTGAATTCCTGTAAAGTCCCCTCGACGATAGAATATGACCGAGCAATGCTAAGATCGGGTCCGAACTTGATCTGTGCAAAGGCGTAGGGATCAAACTCAGGCTGGCTGATCGGGAGAGGCTCCTTCAGGGCGAAGGTGAGCTTCCTCACGCGCGGTGTGACGTACCACGCTCTGACCAGAGTGTATGTTTTGGGTGCTTCTCTCAGCCTCCTCTTGGCAAGGTCCAACCATAGGTCTGTCATGGGCAGCGCAGCACACTCCGCAACCAGTGAGATAGGTACCACTTTACCCCTGATGACTCTTTGCACATTCGTAATGGACCACTTCGGCAAGGGCCTTTCCACGAGCGTAATAGTATCCCCTTTGTTGATGTACCCCGTCTTCAAAACGCCATAATTCCAGCCAGACCGTCCAGATCGTAATGTGCGCTTAAGTGCACGAGGCCACTCGAAGCGTGAATTGAGCTTATAGCACGGATGTCGAGGCTCGCGCACCTGGAGCAGAACATCCTCTCCCACCTTGAACACATCCCCAATGCAGACATTATCCTCACTCATATTCGTCGCGCTGATGTTCTCTCCAAATCCACCGACATCGTACAACCCAGGCTTGGGAGGATTCTCGCTCCTCCAATCCGCGTAGTGATTCGGGTCGTATTGATGGACAGCTCGGTCGTGACCGCCATGGAGATAATACACATGCTCGTCGCCAACAAGTCCTGTCTCCGTACAGTACACCGGCCCATCCCGTACTTGCTTATAGATGGCTGATGTGATCTCCCCTCCCAAAGCATTCTTCTTCACCTTTCCCGTCCGGATTTGCATGATGATACCAGGGGTCGGTACAGGGGCATCATCAATTTTGGTAATTGTCTCCCTGGCAATGTTCCTCCTCGCCAGCTCACTCGTCGAGCTTAGCCTCGACAGGGCATTTGTCGAATCGGTCATGGTTGTGTGATCTGATCTGACGGTTGGAATCGCTGAGGCTCGTTGTTGCAATTGGGCAGAGACCAGGATTATGGTGAGACGGATAGGCAATCCTATTCCTTCTGGGCGTTTCTGGGCGTGGGATACTATTTTGTATGTCAAGAATGGGTATAATAGCACAACGTTCTATGTCTGATGTCTCAATCGGTGCTGACGGACCCGTTCGGCCTTGCGGGTCCGGGAAAAGTTTAAAGCTGCCGAGCGGCGTCTGAGCAAGGCAACCGGTCCTCAGCCGGCCAGACTGAACTGCTATTGAGCAGGAAATCAATGGAGGAGCGTACATGTTCGGAGTTGGTGTCGTTGACGCCGTTGATGTGGTTGCGTCAGCTAGCAAAGTTCAGAGCATGTCCGTGACGCAGCCTTGTCCCGTGACGGCTTCAAGACACAACATCATTGCTGCCACTACCTATCATACAAAAACGTGGAAGAAGCTACCCTCCAACACGAACATCAAACCCCTCACCACAACACCATCGCTAAAAGTCACTCTGCAGCGCGACTAGCACTGAGTCTCGGATCTCTCATCATATCATCTCCCACAACTCCACGCTAAGAAACACACATCCCATTCCAATCTCAACTCCTTTCAATCAATCTGAATTCCCTTTCCTTTCCTTTGATTGTTTACAGATACGGCATCCAAAGCAGATCCGTCTGCGCCAGCTTCTCCGGATTCGTGGCCTTGGCAATGAAATCGAGCACGCTCTGACTAGCCGGCAGGTTGTTGCCTGTCGGCTCCTTCGCAATAGCAACAGCCTTGTTGACGATCGCCTCGGCGTTGCGCTGGACGTGCTCGCGCATCTCGTTCTCCTTGAAGTGTCCTTGGCGGTGTGACTGCGTGTACCAGAACTGGATCTCATCTCTGATGAAGATGGACAGATGATGCTCAAGCTCGCAGTTATTCGTCTCCTGTGCGGCGTTCTGCTGTCCATTGGCTGTGGCAGGTGGGCTTGAGATGTTGTCAGACGTCAAGCAGCGGGCAATGGCCATCAAAGCGCACGTGAAGATGCCCTCGGTGTGAATCGGTCCCATGAGCACTTGCAGATTTGGTGTCTGTCGCCACGGTACCGGCTCAGGCTGATGGAAGATCGGACGATTCGCCAGCATGAACGGCAACAGCTCAGAGCCCCAGATGTTGCCACTACCTCTGGCGATATGCATCTTGTTGGGATAGCGAACGGTCATGTGCATAGTGAAGGTGATGTACGTCAACGCCGCGAGCTGGTACGAGAAGTGCTTGCGGAACAGCCAGAACGAGTCGTAGGAAGGATAGGTGGCGGCAAAGTACTTGCGAACAACATCCTTTGGCACATAACGCTCTTGGATGTGGTTCAACGCTTCGATGCGCATGTTGAGCCACTGCTCTTGCTTCTGAGGCGGAATGCCCCGCATCTTCTCCATGGTGAACATGAGTGGCTCGTCCTTGTCGATCTCGTGGCGGCGACAATGATCCTCGTAGATGGCTTGCAAGGTGACGTACGATGGATCGTCCTGGATAAGACGCATTCCTGGCGACACGGGAACCATGACCGGCAGGTGGAACTGCAAGTTGCGGCGACGACTCTCCTTCTTCTTCGACAGTGTACTGTTGAAGATGCGGAACAGCTGCAGAATGCGCTCTTCGCGGCGACTGTGTCGTGGCGCCGGGTGCTGAATAGCGAACGGATGCACGCTACCATCGTGGCCACGAATCTTGAGCCTACGGTGACTGCCAGCAACACCACGGACCATATCGACAACGGGCAAGAAGCGCTCGATGCGAACAAAGTCCTGGTTCTTGTCCTTGTGCTGGAGGTATTGGCCAGGAATTTCCACTTCGTCGAACCAGACGAAGCGGAAGCCGCTCAAGTGCGTCGTCTCAGCGAGGTGGAACTGCGAAGGTCGACGGTCTAGTCGCTCAGCCAGCTTGTCACGCCATCGCCGCAGCTTGAGAATGTACTCGTACATCGTCGGCTTCTTGGTGACAAAGTCGGCCTCGAATGCCTTGCGGATGTGCGGCGGCAGGATAGTATCGGCAAATCGCGTGATGTTCGCTTCAGTCTGCGGTGGCAGCTTGTTCTCCTGGGAGAACGAATGAGGCGACCGGCCGACATAGCTGAGCGCATCGTTGAGGAGTGCGACGATCAATCGGAAGGCGTCCTCATCTGGCGGACATTTGAAGTGGCGCTGGATCTGCTCCACCATGGCCTCCATCGACGCATAGAGCAGTGGGAACGCAGTGCGCAATGTTATTATCAATGCTTCAGTATGCTCCCACGCCTTGCGAGGCTTCGGCTTCTCCTTGGTCTCCTCACCCTCCTTCTTGACTTCTTCGCCGTTCGTCTCAGTGGTCTGAGCTTGCTCGCCAGCCGCAGTGCCAGGTCGTGATTGTCCGCCGGCACTCTCTGGTCGAGCTGGTGACTCCGTCTTGGCGACTTCTCCACCTTGCTGCTTCGCCTTGGCAGCCTTCTCCTTCTGCTCACGCTGGGAAATAGACTTCTTGATGACCAGCATGTCTTCATGAGACGTGCGAAGCTGGAAGTGCAGTGCCTGCGGGTACGTCTTTGCCAGGCTGCTGAGGATCTGGTGAGCGATGTCTGCCTCCTTCTCCGTCCTCGACAGGTTATTAAGCAGCTGTGGGATGAAGGTGACCCAGTACCACCATGGATGATCGCCGTGGTACTCATGGAACTTGGAGGACAGAGTGCCCTCAGAGTCGTCCAAGCTCAGCAACCACAAGATCCGGCTGAGCAGCTTGCGGGACTTGGCACTCTTGTATTGACCGGCGGCTTCCAGGTAGCAGCTGAGCGCATTGGAGCCAAGCTCCATGTTGGTGGGATCCTCCTTGAAGAGCTTGTCGCTGTACCGACCCCATTCTGCCCACGCCTTTGGAAGCTTGATGTCGAAGAATAGCGCCGTACCGAAGGCATCAGAAGCCTCCTCCTTCTGGTTCAACTTGCTCAAGAACATGCCCTTTAGCGTGTAGAATTCAGCCTTCTGCTGCTGACCAAAGTAGTTCAGATTAGTGTTGTTGATGACCTCAAGCCCGTTCGTGAGCTCGCTCCGGTTCTGGTAGTGACACTTGGCTTGCTCTCTCAGCTTCAAAAACGCCTCCTGAATCTCTATGTTAGGAAGGGTGTAGATCTTGCTGAGTTGAGTAATGCACACTTCAGGCATGTTGTGTTTCCGAGCGACATGAGCGAAGCGATTAATAATCCAGGCTGTCTCATGGTAGCCACGGTACGCAAAGGAGTTGCCAGTAGCATTCTGCCCGTTGTTCGGCAACAGACTCAGATAGGTTCCATTGATGAGCTGGAAAATGTGCTGGCGCCAGGTCACCAGATCCTGCCAGGCATTGATATCGTCCCATAGATTCGGCAGGCGGTCTCGCCAAGTACTGAGGAGCACTTTCAGCTCTTGAGACTTCACGTCCAGATTTCCAGCATTCGTCTGCGCTAAGCTCTGGCAGATGACACTAGCATCGTGGAGCTCGACGAGCTGCTGGAAGTTCTGCAAGAGACCAATGTGTGCTCCTGTAATGCGCCGTGGCAGCTTGTGCCAGTTCTTGATCGAGAGTTGGATGTTCTCATCGCAGATGCGGTTGAAGTCCTGCGGCGTCTCGGTCTTGTTGTGCAGCTTGAGCAGTGACATGAACGCCTGGAAGAACATACGACGTGGAGTAGGAGCGTCCGACACTGCTTTTATCACTGTCTCCAGGTGCTCCCTGTTCTCCGCTGTAGTCCAGGTATCATAGCTTCGCCACATTGACTCCAGATAGAGGTCATTGAGGTTCTCGTGCTTGGCAAATTCTCCTAGGACATCCCACTGCTGGAGCTTCTGGGCACAGAGGACCCAGTGATCTTCCCAGAGCATGTACTCGCCTGTAGAGTATGGCAATGACTGAGTTCGGACCTTGACCTGAGCCTGCTCGTACATCGTCTGTGCCTTGTCCCAGACGCCGTTCTGCTCGTACGACAAGGCAGCGTTGGTCTCGACATACACTGCGCGGCGGCGCCAAGTTCCGTAGAAAAGGTCGCTCTCCTCCAAGCCAGCATAGGTCTCCACAAGAGCGTCTAGATTACTCTCGCGAACAGCTGCCGTGTCTACAATGGGCTTCATGGCGAGATCTTCCATGAAAGTTGCAGCGACATACCACGCATCGTACGACTTGGCGAGGTACTTCATAACCTGCGGGGAGAACTTAACACGCGGGCGGGCGCTGGCGATACCTTCCAGTAGCGTAGACACGCAGTTCGGACGACGATCCAGCTGTCGCTGATGGTAGTCCTTGGCAAGGAGAGAGACCAATCCATGCTCCACATCATCGCGATCGTCCTTGGTCAGCGTTGACCAGCACATAGGGAAGTAGGCAACCCAGATGTCGTGAGCAAGATGCCAGTCGGTGTGTTGAATCTCAGCAAGTGGACCGAGAATGTCTCGAGCTGGCACCACGTTGACTTCTCTCATGAAATGCTTCTCTTCAGCTAGCATCGCTTCGAGTGCATCGTCAATCATGACATCTCCCAGACGTGCATCACTGCTGTATGTGCCAAACGCTTTCGAGGCTGGCAAACACCTAAAGTCGTCCGCATGTAGGTGAAGAGAGCTGTGTTGGTCGAGAGAGCCAAACATGAGCTGAATGACCTGACTGAGCCAAAATGACTCGGCCAAGACATCCCATTGCTGCTCGCAGATGAGCTTGAAGAATCGATTGCCCGTAGTCCTACTCAGGGCCTTGTCGTAAGTCGAGACGAATCTCGTACGCATATCAATGTCCTGGCTCCTCAATCCTATCAAGAATGCGTGCTCCATGCGCACAGCCAATTCCGAACGAGTGATCTTGGGATCCTCGTAGATGCGGATGACGAGATTCATGAACTGGTTGTACAGTGTCGGATCGGGACGATTCTCGAAGAGCATCATCTTTTGCAGGACAGCAGTCTTCTCCTTCAATGTTGGGACTGGCTCGGTGGGATTGAACACCCAATTCTCAACCTGGTTGAGGATCTTCTCGCAGAGCGCATTGCTCATCGAGCGTTCCACCAGCGACGCTAGCACACTGAGATAGGGCCGACGTTGCTCGCCGAGCATGCTGATGCGAGAGGACAGCATCTCAATGACCTTGATGATCATGTTTACGGTGATTTCGATCTCGAGTGGGCTAGAGTTATGCGGCTGCATGCCTGTCGCCTGTGCCATCTGGGGCATGATTTGTGCCGCCAGGTGGTCCTTGGCCAGCTTCGTCTGCAACGTCTTCAACAATGCTGGGATATGCGGATCAATGTCTTCAGGCTTGCGCTGAGACATGACCCAGAGGATGTTGATGCCTGCAACATGGCTGCCGTTCGCGAGAATCTCACCTGCTGTTGTTGTCAAGAAGGTCGTAAACTCTTCCGTGGGGCTATCAGCGTCGGGGAGTTCGTCTTCGGGTTGTTGAGTAGGAATGGGCTGCAGGATCCCCTGCAGCAATGGTGGCAGCCTCGGAACCACACTATCAGGCAGGTCTGCATTGTGCAAAGCATCCTGGATTTCGATGGTCTCGCTGCCAATTTGCTTCGCGAGCAGTTTCTGCAGCTGTGGCAGCCTTGCAATCACCCACTCGTCTGATCTAGAGTTGACAAGGACCTTGAGAATCTGGATGGTGTTGACAACACGGGTAGTCCAAAGATCGGGCTTGTCATCCTGCTTGTGGTCTGAACACAAGATCTGCTCAGTGACCTTAGGAAACATGGCATCGATGTCCAGGTCATCCCAGTACGGAGGGGACAGTAGCTTTGAGAGGAGATCAAGTGACTTGGTCACTGTCTCTGTGGGATACTGTTGTTGCTGGTGCTGACTGGGAGACAGCTCCTTGCTGCGGGGAGGAGAAACGGGGCACCGCTCGGACAAGGTCGCAATGAATTGCACCATGTACTTGATGAGCATCAGTCGAATAGCTGCGCTTCCTATGGCAGCTTTCTTCGGATTGCTTGGCTTGTCGCCCGTGGGTGACTCGGCACCAGCAAGTGAGCCAGTGTCCTTGACGGTACGCTCTTCCCACTGGTAAATGAGCGTGAAAAGGTGCACCGCAAGCTTTCTACCCTCGACGCTCGGGTTCGGCAGTTGGGCAACCTTGCTCATCGAAGGGATGATGATCGTAGCAAAAGCATCTCTGCCCTCGTAAAAGAGGTCCGGGTGACGCACAACAAAGTTGTAGATGCTGGTCAGCTGTTGCACGTTGCCAAGCTCTTCGCTCAATATCTTGCGTGGCAATCGTGACCAGACGCTATTCCGACCATCGGCGCCACCGAGACGCTTCTTCAGAACAGGCTCGAGGACTTCGAGTGACTGCATGACCAGATTTCTGCCTTCAGTCTGATGTGCACGCAGAAGGGAGTTGTACACCTGCATGGCGATCTTTGGTGGTGTCTCGTAGTGGTGGATGAAGTAAGCGATCAGGCAGTACGCCGCGTACTTGTTGATGTGATCGTCAAGTCGAATATAGTTCCACCCAAACTTAATGAGGTCTTTCCGAGCATCCTGGAGCATACTGTGATGATGCTTGACGAGGAAGGCGGACGTCTGCAAGAGTTCCATCCGGCTGTGATCCACGCCTGGGGTACTGTCGTCGGTAGTGTCAGCTACGGACTGAGGCTTCCAGAGCTTGTTGTGAATTTCTTCTGTCATTGCTTTGTCCAGAAGAGCAGTGCCCTTGCTGTTCGCTTGGAACAGACTGTCCCAATTGCGCATGACATCGTTCGCCAGGATTGGGTTGGACAAGTTGTGGAAGACAAACCACTTTAACTTCTGCGTCGTGTCCTTGGAGGTATAAACCTCAATGCATCGATGCACGATCGAGCGCTGATACTCCACAGACTGGTTGGTAATGACCTCTGTGTACAGGAAGGCGAACAACGAGGGACAAGCCTGGAGTTCGCCCGTGGTGCAGCAATCGAAGATCTCAAACAGAGTATCCAGATCCTTGGGCTGCTGTTGTAGGTAGACGGTCATAATGTGCATAATCTGCTCAGCAGTCTGCATCACAGCCAATCGCAGATGGCTTGGGATCTTGCCATCCTGCAACTGGCTCTGCAGTGACTTCGCTGCATCAAGCAAGGCCTTTCGTGCTTTCTCGTTCTCGAGGAGCTGCTTGGAAGTGTCTTCGAACGAGCAGATGGCATCAGCACAGTGAAGAGCATTGACGGCGGCCTGAGCCTTTTCTTCGTCAGTGCCTTCGCCGTTGAAGGTGTTGACGAGCCCGTCAACCTCTTTGATGACCTTCTCTCGTAGTGCACCGCTCTCAGGATGTCCGAGAATCTGTGCGAAGAATCGACCACGAGTGGCGTCCTTCATTTTCTCGCTGAAGTATGTCCAGCTCTCGTTGGGGTAGTGGTTCAGGTACTTAACCAATGGCTCTCTGAATGGGCTGCTGCGTGTCCGCCTCAGCGACTCTTCCAGTGACAAAACCCGATCCACCAGGTCTTGCAAGAATTGCGCGGCTTGGTTAGGTAGCAGATGGAAGACGCTGAATATCGCCGTCACAATCTTCATCTTGGGCTGTGCCTCGATTAGGGAGAAAGACACCTTCTGCAAAGTAGGCGGATCTGCTATGTGCTTCATGTGATCGAGCAATCTAGTCCCAATCTCGACTTTGAAGTAGTTGTGTAGGAGCTGCAGCAACGTCCTCAAGCCTTCCAGTCCTTCAACGGAGAGCTTGCGCGGGTCCTGAACATTCATGAGTATCGGCCGGAGCCCATTCTGCAGCAAGTCTTTCGGCAGCTTCGAAGTTGATTGAAGAACAATCTTCAAGCCAGCGTTGGCGGCACCGGCAACGTCCTTTTGCTTGCTGTAGAGAGACTTGAAGAAGATGCTAATAACTCGGGCTCGGTGTTGGTTGCTCGGTGTCTGTCCTTGACCCTGCTGCCCAGTGGTGGCGTTGTTGAAACCTGGTAGCTTGATCGCAGTCGTGAGGAGCTTGAGCCCAGCAACACGAAGTCGATTGATAGACTCTGCGGCGCGGAACTCGTAAGGCTTGGGAGCCAGATTCTCATCGTCAGCATCGACCAGTGCAAGCGTCTCGAACAGGAAGCGGCTAAGGTCATTGTCAAATGGCAGAATCTCCTTGTCGACGGGGACGTCAAGCAGGAAGCTTATCGCCTCGATGTAGCCAATCATGCCGCCAAAGGGCAATGCGCGCAGGGGCTTCACATAGATAGGTCCAGTGACGATGTCCTTGACAGGTGCCAGGAGTTCGTAGTAGGGCATATCGAATGCTGCAGCCAATGCTCGCAATGCCATTTGGGCAACCTCTCGGACATGGCGATTCATGTTGCTGATCTCAGATATGAGTTGGCTGGCTAGTCGGTGCAGTCTGCTCTCCTTAGTCGAAAGAGCATCTTTCTGCTCTTGGCCGCTAGCACCAAATCGCTTGACCAAGACAATCACCGTGTCCTTTGCTTGTACGCGGATATTGGCGGGAAGGTCCTGAGGCATGTCTTTAACGACGTACAGAAGCGCTTTCAGCATCTCCGCCATTCTCTCCGTGATCCAGGTGTCGGAGAATGGCATCTTCTCCTTGTCTGTCAAGATGGAGATACCGATCGATCCTGATTGCTTGGTGAACCATTCCTCTTCGTAGCAGGCGTGGTTGAAAGTCTCGGCGAGCTTCACGAAGAACGGCAGGCACTCAGCCTTCTGCTCAGAGCCAAAGATGGTCGTCGCGACCTTCAGGCACGTTCTGGCTGCATTCTCTGCCGTCTCCCGAACACTCTTCACGTCTGATGCCAGGCTCTCGCAGATGGCCTCAGCCAAGATGCCGGTCTCGACGAAGACTGGACCCTCCCCAGATTGTACGGCGAAGGGACGCTTGTTGTGCTTATCCTTCGCAACGGCGACTGCAAGTTCGACGAGCATGAAGTGGCGGTAGATGCCTTGCAAAAATCTCTCGGCCTCATCTTTGAGGCAGTCAATGCCAGACGCGTAGATCAAAGCTTTCAGAAGCTTCAGTAGGATTTGTTGCTGAGCGTCTCGCTTTGCTGTTGACTTGGAACGCTCTGACACGGAAAACAGATCTGGACCAAAGTCAAAGTTCTTCGTAGCCAGGTCGTCCGCTTGTAGACGCACGAGCCGCGCCAGATCATCTGGCAGATTGTCCTGACCGATCAGCAACTTGACGTGCGAAACGATGAACTTGAATGATTGGCGCTTGTGGAACTCATCTGCCTTCTTTGCGGCTGCGTTCTTTGGAGTCTCCCAGAGCTTGTCGATAGCAGTATCGATACCGAGCCTCGAAGGCATGGCTCGCTCACCCCCGTTGCTCACAGCTCCGATGAAACGGACATCGTAGCTAGCCTCGTCATCGGCATAGCCCCACCATTCGAGATCGGGTGGGTTGGTCAAGAAGCGGCGATTTCTACCACCAAGCTTGCCGAGGATTCTGACTGCGGTATGCGCACCCTGGTGTCCGCTGGCAAGGACTGGCCCACCGCTCGAGGGGTTGAAGTTGGGACTGGTCAAACTGGCCGGCTTCAGCATACGCCAGAGACTACCCATGATTTCTTCCATCCACGGTTGCATGATAGGGTCCAGGTAATCGGCAGTGAGATTGTCAACGCACAGCTCGAGAGTCCTCAGACCTTGTGCAGTCAATTCGCTGGATCCAGGGCCTGTAGAAGAGCGGTCGTTGGAATGTGCGCGGTAGCTTTGTGAGTGTCCCTGCTCTCCAGATCGAAGAGCAACAGTCAGTGGGCGCATCAGGAACGACAGATGGGGCAGCAGATGGCTGAGACGGGCCGGCACTGTCAGTGACAACTCGACAAAGAGGTCTCTGGTCTGAGTGTCCGGGGCCGCTGCAAGCTGGGTGTTGAGTACTTCCAACAGCATCTCCAGAAGAGGAAGTATCTCCTTGTACAAATGCTCGAAGCGTCCTCCTCCGATGCTGCGGAAGAGGGATCGAAGCAGCAAGAAGTAGTTCTCTGGCTTTTCTGCTGTGACAGAAAGCTCGATCGACTTGGTGATGAGCTCCTTCACGTGCGGCAGGAGGACGCTCTCGTTGTGTTGGGAGAACAACGTGACCGCCATGAAAGACAGCTTGAACAGGCGTAGCAGGACAGATGTCTTGTTCGAGTCGTCCTCGCCGACTTCATGCAACTTGCTCATGAGGAACTTGAGGAGCATACCACAGAAGGCGGGGCTCGTAGCCTCACTGGCCAGGAGGAATTGCGGGATGTGCAGTAGAGCTGAGTGTTGGAAGCTCTGCTCGTACAAGAACTCTATGCCGGAAGGTGTCCCTGAAGTGAAGATCTCGTGGAAGGTGGCCGGGTCCAAGTGGTGGAATATGGTGGCAAAGGTCTCAAGCAGATCCTTCTCTTCCTTCGAGTTTGCAGTAGTGGACAGACTGGCACTCGGCTCATTCGGAGTCGTGTCGGCGCCAGTCAAGTCTAACGGTGCGTAGTACTGGAAGCACTTCGCACCCTCACGGAAGAGCTTGATGAGGACCTCGACCTCTTCCGCCTCAAAACCTGATGACAGCTCATTCCAGTGAGGAGGCGCGGCAGATGCGTCGACCTCCTCCTTGATCTTAGGAGGGTTGCTGTTCCGCAACTGATAGAAGAACTGCTTGAGTCCTTGTAGCAGATTCTTGAAGAGGAACTTGTTTTCCGTCACAGGGTCCTGCGATCTGTCCTTCGGGTTGACGGCTTTGATGGGCATGGCATTGAAAATGTCGGTCTCATCCCAGTCTGGCTTTGCATCTTTCTCTGCAAGATAGTGCTCTGGGATTAGGTCTGAAGTACCAGCATGCTCCTGCTGTTGCCGGTACAACTTGACAGCATTTGGATATGCACGGTTCATGGTAGCAAATTTATCGGCGATGCCATTCAACACGCTCATCATGAGGAATCTCGCGTCTTTCTTTTCTTCCACTTTCGACATGCATTCAGCCATGTTAAGGAGAAGCTTCGCACTCATCGTCTGATAGCTCGTACCAGGCACTTCAACCCCGTCGTCGCCGGTCAAGTGGCCCACATAGACTTGAACAACTCGCGAGATTTGCTCGGCATCCAGTTTCTCGCGAACGTGGTGAATGAGATCAGCAAGCATGGTGTATGCGAGCGGTCTCAAAGTAACTTCTGCAGTCAAGGAGTCGCCGACCAAGGTGAGAGGATCCAGTAACGGGAGGATGACTGGAAGAAACACTTCCCTAAAGTTGAAGTTGATGATGTGTCTGATAGCCACCAGGAGCTCCTTACGCGTGGCGGTGTGACTTCTGGGCACGTCGCGAAGCAAGCGAACTGTGAGCTCTGGAAGATTGGGCAGGAAGTCATTAAGGGTTTGTGCATAGGCTCGCAACAGGTAGGCAAGGAATGACATAGTCTTGACCTGCGCAGTGACAAGATCGCCAAATGCAGCCGTCTGGCCTTTGAGCTTGATCTCCCGTGCCACGCCAGTAAAGATGGTGTTGTTCTGGGCGGCCTCCTCGTGAGCTTTCTTCTGAGGTCCTGCCTGCAGTAGCAGGGTATTCTTGATTCGAGGCGTGAAGTTGCCGACGTTCTTGGGCGCCAGTTGTCGGTGTGCTTGGAAGATGGAGACCACAATTATTGGACACTCGGCAACGACCTTGAAACTGTGCATGCCCTTGACCAGCTGCCTCGTCGTTTGCTGCTCTGCACCAGGGTCTGGTGGGAGCGATTGAGAATTGGAAGCCACAGGCGATCCTGGAGTTCCTGCGTTGGGCGTGCCAGGAGCAGCTCCCGCAGCAGCAGATGACGAGACTGGCGTCTCGAATGTGTCCTTGACGGTTTGCTCCATGCTATCGAAGATCTCGAGGATGAGGTCCAAGAAGGGTTGAGCTTTTGACGCAACACCAGCAGTCTTAGTATGCCACCTGCAAAAGTCCATAACAATCTTGAGGCATAGTACCGAGTTGTCCTCATTCTCCGTCTTGACGAGCTCCAAGCACTTGTCCACAATCTTCTCTGCATGCGGCTCCATCGCCTGAATATCCGACGACAGCGGTAGTCGATGTATTATCTCCAACACACATGATCGCACTCTCTGCTCCGGTGAGGTCGATGTGAAGACGACGGGTCCCGCCAGGATGTTCAGGAATATGGGCACGAACTTGTTCAGGAACATGGAGTACGACGGTCCTGAGCAGAGGCCCTCGAGTTGGTCCCGCAGTTCGGTGAGGAGAGTGCCTTTGGTCTTGAGGTCCAACGAGGCATCTTGCAGCTTGGCCTCATAGGACTCAATCGTCCGGTCGGCCATGACGGAGGTGTGATGTTCGCAGCCTGACGGCTGCAGTATTGATTTGTGCTTCAACCTCGACTTGAGGCTAGCATGACCAAACGCCCATGCGTTGAGGGTGGTGTTGGCAGGCTCGAGGAGTTATTCGTGGGTTTTGGAGGGGAGGAAACAGAAGGGTCGTGCAGCGAAGAAGTCGTTCAATCGTGGGCTCGTTCGCTGGTCGTGGAGGCACGCGCGCAATCGCGGTTAGGCGCGTTGGTGCTTTGTGCAGTTTCGTAGTAATTATTTTGATTGCCAGTGACTAGCAATCACAACGCCCGCGAAATGAGGCCGTCGAGGAGGGTTGTAGAAGGGAGGGTGTTGGCGGGTGGAGTGGATGGCTTGCGGGTTGTGGTCGTGGAGAGCTGCACTTTCCAACTGGGCGGGCGATGCTCTGGATACTGAAATCTTGACCACGGTGATCATGAGAAGTGGCTTTGGAGCAGCTGGTCTCTGAAACGTGGTCTTCCTGGATTTTCTCAAAAGAAAGGCGGAGATCCACGAACACCAGCCGTGTAAACAACTGTGTCTTGCAGGTAAGTCACTGCGGCTCCGGGAGCGGAGCTTAGACTACCCGCTCTATAAGGTTCGGGCCGCTCTGTGTTGTTTCCATTGGATGAATGATCAGCTCTCTGTCTTCTCTACTCACCACCATCACCCTCCTTCCCAATGAACTCCAACACCTTCGCAGCAAACCCCTCAGGATTTTCCTCTGCGACCCAATGTCCCGAGCTGTTAATCACTTCATTTTCAGTCTCCCCAAAGAACTCGTCTTCGATTTGGACAGCGCGAACAACAACAAGGAACCGTCTCCAAAACGCGACAGGCTCATCACTGCCCCCTTGGACCCATCCATTCTGCTCCACATATGCCTTGTTCTCTCTCGCACCGTCATCGCGGATTCTGTACAGACGCGTGCAACCGGGCTGATGCAAGCTGGGGTCGACAACGATCTCGTCGTAGAAAATCTTCATGTGACGTCTGATCGGGCTTCTATATACCTTTCAATTTTCATCATCAAGACGGCTTGCCTCTGTCTCGCAAGACTCCCTTGATTGAGCTCCAGCTAAGGACATTGCCGTCCTCCGTCTTCAAAGCAGTGCTCGAATTCGACGGGAAACGTCGACCTTTACGTTGGACGGCAGACACGTTCCTACTCCTTGTCGCTCAATCGGGATCAGTCCAGGTGTCTTTGATCAATGGTCTAAGACATAACATGATACGCAACGATCGCCAATGTTGCCATGGGTCGAAGTGAGCGTCCAGTCCGCCTGGATTCTGATCCGTAACGTTCACACAATTTCAATGCCAAAGATTTGACAATATCTTTCCCTCTGAACGATATTCTGGATCATACACATATGCTCCCTGATCTGTCTGCACTCGAGCTCGTTCCCATTTCTTGCTCATGCGCTTTGTCGTTCTGCAGCCTCTAGTTCAACGGCATATTCAACGACACAAAGTACCAAAAAGAATTCCAGTTAGAATCTCCGCTCCATACATCCTGTCAAGCATCTTCAATCTATCTGTCTTGCCTATCAAAGAGCTCCGTAAGCCCTATGGCCTCTCCAGCCAAATAAAAAAATCAGATCGCTCTCGTGAAAGTATTCAATTCAACTGGCAAAAAGGATGCAAAAAATTGGACTAGCCCGGAGTCGAACCGGGAACCTTCTCCATCTTAGGGTCACTGTCGAGACGACGGCAATGCTAAGAAGATGTCATACCGCTAGACCACAAGCTGTGAAATTGTTAGCTTGTATGTCAATGTAAAGGAATGTTGTGTCTCTTACCCCTGAGCTATCCAGCAGGAATGTCTGTCATTTGGGACAGGAAAGAACCGCCCGATATGGAAGTGCTCAAAATATCAAATGCATTATGTAGACAAAACACAAGAATGCCGGTGAGAAAGCGAGCAATTTGCCTGTGTGCGTGGTCCGTGCTGTTCGTTCTGGACCTCGAGGAGCAAGGAATGCTGAGAGGGGAGCTTAGCTCTTGAAATTACGCTGAGCAAAATTGGGTCTGTGTGTGTAAAGCTCATCAGAGCTCAGTGAATGCCAAGCCGTGCAGTCGACGACGACATGGAAAACCCAGATTTACAGCCTGAGAAGACTACGGAAGGATACATGAATGGCTGCAGGGAACGAGCTTACATGGCTCAACAGGATTGACGAGATCTGAAGACAAGCCTTGTAGACTTTGATACGAGAAGGATATATGCAACCAACAAGCGTCTTACTGCTTGCACGAGGGCTTCCTTATGTCACATACTCACAAGATGTAAGCTCAATAGTTCAATGGCAGGTAGTCATGGCATAGATTCCGGAAAGTATACGGGTTACGCCTGTGTCAAAAATCCCAAGAGAAGATGTCGGCAAATGACAGAGCACTGGGCTCAACGAGGGAACGTCGATCTGGGGCTCCAAATATGCGACGATGGTCAAGCAACAGTCCTGTTAGAGCTGGTATCTTGCCAGACACACTGACTCCTGTAGCTAAGAGACCATTTGGCCACGACAATTCCCTTGCAAAAAGGCCGGCATCGAGATCCCCTTGTTCGCCTTGATTCTCCATGAAAGTCATGCTGCTGTCATTTCTGGCTGGTAGATTGGATCGACATCGTGGACTTTTGGCACCTCTATTTTCATCTTGCAGGCTCCGTTGAGGACAAATAAGACTCATGCCGTGAGAGGAAACGCTCAATCATCGATGGGATTCCAGTCCGGAGACAGATGCCTGGGACATAAGTACGCAGAAAACCGCAAAGGCTTGAATGCGAAGTAATTCCAGATCCAGATCTTATAGAAATGTCGTGGCTCTTCTCACAAAAGCTCTCGGCTCGGGCGTACACTACCCATACCATTCGACTCAGCGGCGTCGTGTCAGCACTTCGTACGGTCGGTAGAGGTGCTTTTGAGATGCATCGCGGAAGTACCATGTCTCGCATCAGCAAGTAGCCATGACATGTCTTCTTGATGGCAAAGACGTCAAAGACGGGGAAAGGAATATTACTGATCGTAGAGTCGAGACGACGAAGAAGCAGTTCAAGAGCCGACGGAGAAACGTCGGGGCTGCCGGGAAGTCAATCACGAGCCAGACGGAGCCCAGTCCGCAGCCAACAACATCTCTTTGTGGTCGACATGACCTCGGCTTTGGGAGCGTCTTCACCTCGCGGAGATATGCTGGGCTCAGCAGTGTCGTTCATGTGATATGTAGGGCCTGTATTTCCTTGTCTCTGTTCTTCTCTAGCTTCTTTGACCGTCTTCATACACTAGAATCATTCCATACAGTGAACCCAAGACGACAGAACAACCGCCGATATGCCTTTCAACACTGCGCTTACCCGCAAGCTGGGCATCAGAGGTGAGAAAGACGGCGACAGTCAGGCTGGACGACGAGTACTAACAATCTCCAGTCCCTGTGGTGCAAGGCGGCATGCAATGGGTCGGCTACGCCGAAATGGCCTCCGCCGTCTCCAACGCTGGCGGTCTCGGCATCATCACGGCGCTGACCCAGCCCACCCCCGAAGACCTTCGCAAAGAGATCCAGAAATGCAAGAAGCTCACCAAGAACCCCTTCGGCGTGAACCTCACCCTCCTCCCCTCGATGAACCCACCAGATTACCCCGCCTACGCGCAAGCGATCCTCGACGAGGGCATCCGAATCGTCGAAACCGCCGGCAACTCGCCTGGCCCGATCATCAAGCAGTTGAAAGAGGCAAACCCGCCGTGCGTGATCTTGCATAAGTGTACGAGCATCAGACATGCGTTGAGTGCGGTGAAGCTCGGCGTAGACTTTTTAAGCATTGACGGCTTTGAATGCGCTGGACATGTTGGAGAGACGGATATTACGAACTTGATTCTACTTTCTCGATCGCGACAGGTCATGCCGATCCCGTTCATCGCCTCAGGAGGTTTCTGCGACGGCAATGGTCTGGCAGCTGCGTTGAACCTCGGTGCAGAGGGTATCAACATGGGCACGAGGTTTATGTGCACGGTAGAGGCACCTATCCACAACAACATCAAGGAGGCGATTGTGAAGGCTCAAGAGACCGATACCAAGCTTGTGTTGCGAAAGTGGAGGAACACTTCGCGACTTTTCAAGAACAAGGTCTCCGATCAGGCGTACGAGATTGAGAACAAGCCCGAGACCAAGGACTTTGAAGCCGTAGGCCCATACGTCAGCGGAAAGCGAGGACGACAGGTTTTCCTCAACGGCGACCCAGATTACGGTGTAAGTTACTAAGAACCACAAAATATAGAAACAGACGAATTGCTAACAGCTCCAAACAGGTCTGGACCGCCGGCCAAGTCGTCGGCCTCATCCAAGATATCCCGACCTGCAAAGACCTCGTCAACAGAATCGAGAAGGAAGCCATCGAGAGCTTGACCAAGGTGCAAAGCCTCATCGTCGACAAGCAGCCAGAGCCAGATATCAGAGGAAAGCCGGCGAGCGCCATGCAGGCGAAGCTTTAGACTTGTTTCATTATACAGATGGCAATTTATTCCTCACTTGATGTGCACAGATGTACGATTTACGATTCCAGCACTGTTTTGCGTCCCTCGTACACTTCGCCTTGCTGTGCGACGACTGACGGCGGACTTCACAGCCTTCCCAATTCGGAAATATGACGGGAACGTCACGGAGAAGTCAACAGTGCGCCTTACCACGGCGCTATGTCACAACAGCGATGAGGGCATGAAGGCCGACAGAGTGCTCTTGAGACAATCCACAACATCGATAACGACTCAAAAAAAAAAAAAAGACGCGTCCTCATCGCAGCATCGTCCAAGATCTAAAGTCGTGGCATGGCCAAAATGATCGCTATGCTGAGAGACTCCAGTACATCATTGTACCACCTAGATCAATACAACCCCTATTCCATATCACCTATCCCCAACGATACGCTCTCACAACCTCCCACCCATCCCCTCCGCATTCCTCACCACCTCCCCGTCATAAAACGGCCCAAAAATCATCCGAAACAACCCATTCACCTCCACAACCATCTCATTCAACGCCCCTTCCTCTCCTGCACGCCCCAACTTCTCATTCACAATCTCCACGCCTTGCCCTTCCCGCCCTAAATAGCGCAGGGATTTTTCGTAGGCGAGGAGGATGCGGTCTTTGTAGCGCTGGAGGGTTGCGGCGGAGGCGGTTTGGAGGAGGTGGATTTGGTAGGGGAGGAGGTCGGGGCCTTCGAGGTCGACGGGGTGGATGATGCCGTGGATGTCATAGGCGAGTTGGAGGCGGCGGGTGGAGATGCTGGGTGAGGAGGGGGAGGTGCGAGGTGGTTGAGGGGCGGTGTTGCTGTGGTTGTTATCATCGTTGGAATCTCTGCCTGCGACGGCGTTCTGGTCGGTTGAAGGCGTATTCTGATCCATAGTGTCAATCCAGACTCTCTGAGCGTATGTACGACCCAATCTGCACCCCCAACGAATTTTTTATGCCTCGAATCCCCCATCATTCACCCACCCCTCATCTCCTTCGAAGCCCCCGAAACATACTTCACAGCCTCAATGTGCCGCTCCATACTCGCATCCCAGGTATCGAACAACCGATGCAGCGAAGCCTGACCGGCCGGAGGCGCCCGTACAGCACTCACATTGTTGATGAATTTGACGAAGAACTCTGGAAAGTTGGCCGTGTCAGCAACGCCTGCTTTGTCCTCGTGAATATCTTCTGTCATGCAAAAAGACTTACTGCGAGTATTGAGCCACGCTTGCGGTCCTAGTTGAAGCATAGCGCGAACAAGGTGGGCTTCGCAGAAACTTCGTCTGCGTGGTTCTTCGGCGGCGCACAGGGCTGCGAGTAGCCTTTAGGAAAAATCATCAGCCTCGCCGAAGTAGTTGAATATCTCGATTTCTCGCACGACTCACATAAACAGTCGAAAGTACTTCAGAACCCTCCATCTCTCACTCGGCACATGAATCATAGCGGCGATGATAGGATCCACTTGCGATTGGTTCTCGAGGTCGTTAAAGGGGTACTTGAGCACGGCGTATCGATATATGATAATATTGGTCGCTTTGGCGGCTTGCACAAAGAGTTCTAGGTCGCATAACTGCGTCTGTTGGGAGAGTGTACCGATAGATCTCGAGAGCTTTTCGAAAGGTGAATTCCGCCGCGCCTCTCTCTGACGGATTTGAGGGCCGTCGAGAGATTTCTCGATTTTTCGTGATACGTCTTGCATCATCGTGTCGACCTTGGTGAAGTAAGGGTAGATGATCAGGTCGTTGATCTGGTCGAGTTCCTTTGTCAAAATGCTGGCATGGTAGGATGAGTATGTCGGTTCGCTGAAGGGGCTTTGCTTTCCCAAGGAGACGAATTCGGCTTTTCTTGAAAACATGAGCGCGTGCATGAGGTCGCCCCTGCGAGCGCTTTACGTTACCCTTGGACAGCGAGGTTAGTAGACTGTCAGACATACATTTCAAGGCTCATGGCACAGCTTGCAAACATACGGCTACTAGAAGGGTCAATCGTGCCGATCAAAGCCTTCACACCCTGTAGGTGGACCAAGGCTTCGTCGTTGCCCTCACATAGCTAAAAATCGCCATCAGCGTCAAACGGTTCGCATGGAACGTAGCCTACAAACCTCATAATGCAACAAACAAACGATAGCATTGACAACATCGCCAGACACGAGCATCTCCCCGTCCTTCAAACGAGCTTTCAAGCTCGCCAAAACCTCATTCTTGCGTTCATCGCACTTCTTGCCAGGCGCTCGAAAATGGGCAGCATCCAAATACCGCCCTGCGACAAGGTGGCTCGCAGCAATCAGTAAAGGGTCCGGGAGCTCTTGCTGGGCTACGTAGAGGGTGAAATCGGCGTCTGTCAAAATCCCGTCTGGGCGTAGCCATTGGAGATCTGCAGACTGCCGTTAGTATGTTCATGTCTGACTCTCTTTACGAAGGGCTGGCACTCACATTTCTTGCATAGTCTCAGGCTATCGGCAATCACCTCCGGCTCCTGGATCCTCTCTTCGGCATCCTTACGCCACGACAAGGAGTTGAACACCAACGATTTCGGCTTGGAGTTGCGGCTTCCGATCTTGGTACTCACGCTCGAGGCTGGTGTAACGCTTCGTCGTGGTCTACTCTTCATCGCCGTAGTCGACGCACTGTCTTCAGTTGTCGACTTGTGCTTTCGTTCAACCTCTTCCTTCTGCCGCCGTCTATACTGACGCATAGCCAGGGAACGTGCATGTCTCCGGACGGCTGGATTGCGAGACCCATCCACACTGATGGGAGCCCATTCAATGCCCATGCTGGATGGTGCCCCGTATGCTTCGCAACTTTCTTCAGAAGCCGTGAACGATGCGGTGTTACTGCAAGTCGACATTCATACTTAATAAGTCAATTGATTAGCGTGACGACGACCTGGCTCAGCTCGAGGTCTGTGAACGCACGGCTGAGCCGTCGATCTTACCTCGAATAGGCAGTACCTGAACCGTGGAGTTGATGACTGAGGCAAATCTACTATTCGCGAGTAGCGTCGTCCTTTCGTAGCGTATGTGAGTCGCTCCGCCCACCGGGTCTACGCCCTATCGAAGCAGCAAAAGTCCTAGTGAATCTCGAGAATCAACTTGCGATCCTGAAATGTACCAAAATATCCTCTCTATCACGGTCCAAGCTCTCGATTATTTCCCCAAATCTTGGAGTAGGGGGAAGAAGTTGATGACTTCTTGGGATTTCGACCTGATCGTCAAAGGCCTTGGCTTTGCGACCCTGATTCCCGCAATTGTGTCTGACGATTGAGATGCTTGGAATGGGATTATTGGAGAGTGGTGCTCGAACAATGCGGCAGCGGAAACGCTTGCCTCCTGTTCTGTGTAGTAGGATTCATGCCCAGTGGCCTAAATGAACATCTCCAAAACCTACGTTCAGGCCACCGCAGATGTAACAATCCCGGCATACCGGGCTTCCGGCTCCCGAACATAGAACGCCCTGAATGACTTTTGAAGGTCCTAGGCTTTGGATACTACTGTCACTACAACTTGCCGATCGTTCTCTCAAGAACGGCATACGGCATTCTGGCCGGAATGTAGAAACGAACATCACCCGGGCTATGTGACAGCCTTGCCGGCGATATGTCCAGCTTGAACGAGCCGGTGAGACCTCGAGGTCGAGCAAGACGACGACATCTTGGGCTCTCGCAAGGAGCCGGCATCCGAGAAGAAATAGTTATAGAGAGGATGTAAAGGTGAGCTTCGGTATATAAATGCGCACGCCGAGTGCTGTTCACAATCACAACCATCGCTATCCAGAGACTACAGACTGCACGAGCACGCTTTCAGTGTATCAAGACCCGTGAAGACCTGCAGGAAAGATCGATTCGAGCACAAGATACTGGAGAATTTGCGCCGCCACTGGATAAGCAAAAGGTTCTGTTTCAAACCTTTCGGCCAGACGTGGACGACAGCATCGGCGTCAATGCTGTTCGACAGTCCTTTTGCGGTGGCAGGGGTCCTATTCCTCCTCCTTACCACCGGCTACCTCTACCTCCACCTAAACTCACCCCTCCGATCAGTCCCCGGACCATTCCTCGCTCGCTTCTCCCGCCTCTGGTACTTCCTCAGCACTTACGGCGGTCGTTTCCAGCATATCGAAGCCGCCCTCCATGCGAAGCACGGCAAGATTGTGCGTTTGGCTCCAAACTTATACAGTATCAGCGACCCGTCGGCGATTGCGACCATTTACAAACGCCGCCAGGGCGATGGCCAGTTCCGCAAATCGGACTCGTACGCGTCGTGGGAGGTCCCGGGCCAGCCGAATGTCTTCAGTGGAAGGGATGTAACCGTTCACGCCAATACACGAAAGAAGTTGACCAGTGCTTATACCATGAGCGCCATGGCCACCTACGAGGCCTTTGTCGATAACTCCGTCGCCGTCTTGTGCCGGAGGTTGGAAGAAGCAAGCATCAAGGGAACAAACATCGACTTGGCGTGGTGGCTACAGTGCTTCGCTTTCGATGTGATTGGCGAAATCACCTACTCGCAGCGATTTGGCTTCCTCGACAAGGGCGAAGACCAGCATGCGCTGATTGAGAGTGTACACGGGAACAATCGATATTCCCTGTTCATGGGCGTTTTCCCGGAGTGGCACCAGGTGTGCTTTGGGATCATTGCTCTCATGGGGAAGTTGGGACTTGGGCAGGGGAATCAGAAAGACTATCTGATCGAATTCACTAAAGAAAGTAAAGAGCGGCGTCAAGAGGCGTTGGAGAAGTCGCCCGAGGAGGGACAGGAAGAGGCCATCGACGGAAGCAGTAGCATCCCCAAGGACTTCATGACGAAGTTCATAGAGCACCACCAACAAGACCCCGACCGATTCACCCTCGACGACATCTTCAACGGCATTGGCGGCAACATCAACGCCGGCTCCGACACGACTGGCATCTCGCTCAGCGCCATCATCTATTACCTCTCTGCAAACCCCACCGCCCTCCAACGCCTCCGAGAGGAGATGGAACAACACCAAGTCTCGGATCCAGTAACTTTCAAGGAAAGTCAGAAGATGGAGTACCTCCAAGCAGTCCTCAAAGAAGGCCTCCGTCTCCACCCCGCCGTCAGCGTCCCACTCTCGCGCACCGTCCCCTCAGGCGGAGCCGTCCTCGCAGGGCAATACTTCCCCGCCGGCACAGACGTCGGCGTGAATCCGTATATCCTCCACCGCGATCGAGAAGTCTACGGGGATGATGCGGAGGATTTCCGGCCGGAGAGATGGCTCGAGAACGACGCGGAAACGCTGGCGCGGATGGAGCGCTCGTGGTGTCCGTTTGGTCTTGGGTCGAGAACGTGTCTGGGGAAGAATATCAGTTTATTGGAGATCTCCAAGGCTGTGCCGCAGCTGGTGAGGAGGTTTGATTTCGATCTTAGCGATGAGTTGAGGACGGAAGGACTGGAGTCGACGAATGAGTTTTTCCTTCAGATAACTAATTTTTGGGTGCGAGTGCGATCGAAGCAGCGAGAGGAGGCGTGAGACCCGGGGGAATCGGAACGTGTTGGAGAGTTGAAGGAGACTTGAGAGATTGGAAAATATATGTCGAAGTCGTCAGACCATAAAGCGACATTGCGGATGTTTTGTAAAGATATCTTCCCCTGCCCTGCAGCAGAATTTCCTGGACTTCAACGTGAAGCAGAACGCTCCAAACTCACTCACGAAAACGCCCCAAACAACGGATCCAACCACCTCCCAACCAACCACACGCACCCATTATCCGCACATACCCTCTCCTGCACGCGCGCATTATTCGCCCGTCCCATGTCAATGGTGATGTTGAACCCCAACCCAGACCGCACGAAAGGACTTCCTTCAACATACTCCCCCAGCCCAAACTCCAAAAGCAAGGTATTGGCGCCGTGATTGCTCGGCGACGTGGCAGACTCCGCGATGGAGGAGGGTAGGACTCGGAAAGCGGCGTCGCTTGGAGCGAGGTAGACTGTGCGTTCGTTGACGCCGCGGTCTGTTGAGTAGAGGGAGAGTCGGTTGACGAAGTCTGGGTCGATCTGTTCGAGCAAGGGAGAGAGGCTTGTTAGGCGTGGATGCTGACGGAGGATATCGGCCATTGTGCCAGGTTGGCGACTGATTGGCGGCAAGGCCTGACCTGGTGCGTCTTCGCCAAAGTAGGTGATGAGGGGATCGAGCATCTTGTCGATTATGTATATGATTCCGTTAGAAGCGGGAACAGTTAATGGCCTCCCATTCTGGTCGAAAACGATGTTGGCCTGTTTTCTGATCGGCACGGCTGACTGCGTCACACCTTCGTTCGTCTGAATCGATCCATCCGATTCGATGTCGAACATGAATCCTCCAACAGCCTCGAGGCCGGTTTTCGGAGTCATCTCATCGAGGTTGAGTCTTTGCGGGAGTACATAGTTGAGCAGAAGAGTGAGCAAGAGCTCGTAGGCAGGGACTGACGTCAAAGCCTCGAGAAAGGCAGGCGAGATCGATGCGAAGGCCTGCAAGACAGTAACGTCAATGGAGCTTTCTTCTGGTCGGGAAAGATGTGGACACTGACATTGTTCGCCGGCGCCAAGAGCGTATACTGGTTCGAAGGATCATCGAATCTTTCTCCAAGGGCAGGACCAGGAACTCCAGATTGGCCACCGGTGCTCGCGAAGAAAGAGTAGAACGTTGATAGCTCAGGAGTCTGTTGGGCTGTCCCAAGGATAGGCTGAAGTTGAGCTTGACGCCGTTCGTTGACAGTGGGATGACTTGTGGACAAGTCCAAGACGGTGAGCAAAGGCAAGACGATCAATAGACTTGACGGCGCCATTGTTGCGGTGGAGTAGTGGAGACACTGATGCGCTCAAGGGGTTGATCACGACCGCGCGGTCCCCTTGATATGTGCAGCGTTATCTAGACGAGACCAAAACATCAGAACCAGGGGAGATGGAGGTTCCTGTCCGACTTGGCATTTTGGAAATAACATCAGGACCGTCACGATGTGCACGTCAAGGTACACGCTCGAACCCGAGCAAGAGAGTCGTTTCGTGATCGTCGCAGGGGGCTCCCGCGAACAACCATGTTCCCAGGAAGATGAACCTTCTCCACACGACCTGCCTCGCATCTGTTAGGAGGTTCTTCACACCCCTTCAACCTTGGTCATAGTGGTCAAAAAGAAGGTTGGCCAAGCTGAATCGTCGCGCAAAGGGCGTGTTGGGTATCGAACAAACTGTCGCGGATGCAGCGAGTTTCGATTCACACCTCAAAAAAACAATTCGCGTCCTCGGCATTAGAGATCGAACAAAGAACAAATGATTGTGTGCCGCGAGAATCGAACTCCCATCTCCCGGCCTGAATTCCAGGCGCCTTACCATTGGACCAGACACACCAGTAGCGCTCGATTCCAAAACTTATATGATTGTTGTCGTCGTCAACGAGCCGCCGGCAATGAGATGCTCCGTGACTTCTCGTCGGGCTTGGCTTTACTTGACGTTGGTCTGGGAAGTGGTGAGGTCAGACTGGATAGCGAACGCTGTCGTATTAAGATATCCTCAGCTGGAGGAGAGGGCCATGGTATTCGGTCCTGATATGTCGTCGGCGAACGCCACGCTCGTAAACACCATTTAATCAATCCCAATTCAAAACGATCGCATCTACTGCACCACATCCTACTCAGCCGGTCCGATGCCACCGCCCAACGCTTCCGCCAAGTCCTGTTCATCCTCACTCTCATCATTCTCATCTCTGGGGACATCAATTCCCGGGTCTGGCACCACAAAGTCCAAGCTCATGAAACCCGTCCTCCTCAGCTGTATGAGCTTCACTTCCTCGCCTGATCTCTCCTTGTCCTGATTCCATTTGTTGATGAACATCTCCAGCTCTTTCTCGCCGCTCTTGGCACCTGTCAATCCGAGATCATCCCAGACGTATCCCGTCGCAGCACCCAGTAGACTGTCGATCCAAGCCCGCGTGGTGTAAGGTGAGAGCATGCGATGGAGGATGGCATTGATTGATGCGATGAGGTCGCGAAACTCACCGTCGCTGACGAGCGGGTCGAGGATCTCGGGGTAGAGGTTGGCGTATTGTGGGTAGAGATCTCCAGCCACAAGCCAGTCGCGCTTGACACGAATCACTCTCGTCGCGGCGTGTTCGGCGCCGTTCGGAGAGCAGTGTGGGTTTGGGTGTGGGTGGCATGGATGTGAAGGGCCCCACGCGAACTCGTCCTCCTCCTCTTCTACGCCCGTTCCTGCTGTTTCGCCTGACACTCGAGGTAGCACCGACTGCGGGCCCAGATGCTCTCCCTGTTGAGCAGGTCGAGGTGAAGGTGGATAGTCTGAGGCTATGGCATTCGCATCGTGGCTGTGGTTTCGTGAGGCGATGCTGTGTTTCGAGCGTTGCGATCGATGCGAGCGGAATGATCTGTGTGATGGGCGACGGTTGAGAGGGAGTGATGCGCTTCTCAGGCCGCTGTGTTGGCTATGCGAGTCTACCTCGACAGCATCGTCTTGTGGAATCGGAGGCGGAGGAGGAATGGTCTGGCCATGGCTGCTAGAGACTGGGACTGGTCGTTCTGTGCCGGAGTCTGATACTTGCTGGACGCCCGCCAGCTTGTGGAGCGTCTCCATGGTTTGTGGTGATTCTTCTCAATGTGTTGAATGTCCTGAAGCGATAGTGTGGTCAGTGGATGTGTCCTCGCGCAGGTATTTGAACGACGGGAAGGCGGCTGCTGGTTCGTGAGTGTTCCACGGAGATTGTTTGGTTTGGGTGGACGTTCGAGTGAAATCCAAGGGAGATCGACCGGAGTCGGCTCCGCTGCAGATCTTCATGCAGGGGAAGCACTTCACTTCATGCCCAACTGGGACTCTTGCTGCCATTCATCTAGATACCATCTACGAGCAGAGAGCAGTGAACAATCAAATTTAATCGTTTCAAACCCGTCCTCAGCTTCTGTTCTTCTTGAAGATGTCACGTCAGACCAATCGGCATGATCGTTCAATCTGTGACACGAAGTGCTGCAGGCACCCACTCTGCCCGTGACTCTTTGCTCTTCTTCTTAAGTGCTGCCTCTTCCATGGTTCCACCCCGACACCAACCTGATATTTCAGCAACCTTCACGCACTCCAAAATTGTGCTCTTGATACGAATTCACTGAGGTGCCAGTCACCAATCATGGCCAACATCCTGGCTTCCGACCACCTCATCTACCGAGCCATCGAGCACTGGGACGCGCCTATGCTCGCCCAGCTCCATCAAGACACCCAAGCGCACGTCACCTCCACACCATTCCTACCAACACCCCAGGGCAGCGCCATCGCCCAGACTGACCTCGCCAACTTCGAGAGATGTCTGCTGGCGGCGATGATCTGCATCAAAGCTCCAGACGGCCAGTCTCCAGACAACGCTTTTCCAATAGGAATCATCTCGCTCAAAGACCCCAACTTGCCCGGTGGACGCCACTTGCGCAGCGCCAAACTCGGAATCAACCTCTTGCCGGAGTACCAGAACCAAGGGTACGGCACGGAGGCAGTGCGGTGGTGTCTGGAGTGGGGCTTCAAGCAGGCTGGGCTGCATAAGATTGGTACGTATGTGTATGAGCACAATGTGCCGTCCATGAAGTTGTGCGAGAAGGTTGGTTTCAAGCTGGATGGCAGGATGAGGGATGAGGTGTGGTTCGACGGACGGTTCTGGGACGACTTGGCGTACTCGATGCTGGAGGACGAGTGGAAGGACAGGTGTGGCGATTAGATTGGGGGTGTTGAGGGAGGGGCGGCGTGATCGTCGACTTGAGATGACTGTCACTCAGCAGGTGCGTGGTATTCAGCCCCAGTCTTCAAGTACTCTGATGCGTATCCAGCCATGTCCTTCAAGACTCAAGGCTTCGTATCCGAGGAACCTTCAGGTGCAAATACCACGATAGCGAAAAGGATCGCGAACGACCAAATTCCACAAGCCAAACACAGAGCCGGTAAAGTCCCAGCTCGCGCAGGCCAGTTCCTATCTTCTCTTCGACTCGCCATCCTGAGCTCTCGATCGATGCAGCATTTCGCTGGAATACACGACATTCCGTGGACCGCACAGATGCCGTAGGTGCAGTAGGTCGGTGGAAAGTCGCGCGCGACGGTGCCGTAGGACGGGAGAGATTCGACATCGTCCTCGTCGTTGGCCGTGGAGAGACGCGCGTGTTCGCTACTTGGTGCGTAGGTCGGTTGACCAGTTTCCATGGTAGTGACTGGCGGCGATATTTCCGAACGTCGGCTGGTGTCTTGGACGCCTATGAATGGGGAGGAGTTGAAGAACATCGGACTGCGTCTTGGAGAGGACATGGTGGAGGTGAGGAATGGACGTTGAGCTGGATGGGTCACGACGGTATGTGAAGACGACGATGGGGAAAAGGAGATCCAGACAGTGTGAAAAGCAAGAAATTTTGTAAGACTTTTTGCTGCTCGCGGTGGGATTTCGCGACCGTGAAAGAGTGAGACTTTTCTCGGTACCATCGTGGTGGATTGGATCAGTCCAATACTGCAGAGTGTGATGATATTGTCAGCAGTGGTATAAAGCCTATCTCAAGCACTTCAAAGCACAATAACACATCAAAAAATGTAGGTATCGCTACACAGACGAATAACAATAAACCCCATGCACTAACAAGAACAAAGTACATGAACAGGCGCGACAACAGCAGCAGCACGAAGCGGAGGCGACAGCGACGGCGAACCCAAGCAGCCGAACACCGAGAAGAAAGTGAGACTATATAATTAATTCAAGAACTCGCTTAGCACATTCAACACTCGAAGCAGGCAAAGCTGGTGAGGTCGTAAAGCCCGAAAGGGTGTGACTGGTCAGTGGCGTAGCGCGGAGAGTGTTGGATGTTTTTTGCTTTTTGGGAAGGGATTTCTGGATTTTGAGAGGGCCCGGGTTCGAGTTGCGTTGGGGCAGGATTGATTCTTCTTTGATTTTGTATTTTGACAATTTCGATTTTTACTCATGGACAGCAAGTCGAATCGCTCCCTTGCACATCTCTTTCCTGCCCACGACACCACCCACCCACACTTACTTGAGCATCGTCGTGACGAAATTGCAGTCAAGGAGTCGATCTTGGCCCCTCATGTGAAAGAGTGGTACGTCCACAAAGTCTAGCATGTAAAGACTTCCCAGCGAGCCGGTAACTCCATCACACGCCGCTCGAGATAAGCATCCATAATGATCAGCAAAGATGCACGGCCATCGTGAGGTGCCAAGAAGACAATAAGATTCATCCACGGGGCAAGATGAATAAAATGAACAGGATAGACCGCCTCCTCGCATCCTCGCCTTTCTTCAATCGACTTCCAACAACAGAACATACCGACGATCAAAAAAAGCCCCCCTCAACAACAACAACAACAACAACACCAACAACAACCACCACAACCATCACAATGGACCCAACCCACGACCCCGCCCTCCTCCCACCCCCGGCAGCTTACCACCAACCCCCCACCACCAGCACGGGCCCCTTCCACACCAGCCTCACCAACAACCCCTTCTACGGCCCCGCCCCACCCCCCTACACCCCCCTCGCAATGGAACTCCCCACCTACCACCAACGCCACAAAACGCCGCTCCTCCAGCGCGCCAGCGCAACCCCCACCACCACCTCCGTGCCCTCCCCGGTGCCCCGCTCGAAGCGGCGGAAGATGCTCTGCGTCGGCGTCGCGGTGCTTTGTGCGGTTGCGATTGTGATTGCGTTTTTGGTGGGGTGGGAGGAGTTTAAGAAGGGGGGTGGGGGGAATGGCGGTGATGGTGCTGTTCGTGGTGATGATTATCATAGGGGGGATTGGGATGGGGGGTATGGTGGGACGCCTGTCGGGTTTTTCTGGAAGGGCAAGCGGGATGGGGGCGTTGAGGCGGCGGAGGAGGTTCCTATCATGACGATGAGGGATGTTGAGGTGGAGATGGAGATGGAGGGGAATGAGGTTGTTGCCGTTGCGGGGGATGATTGTGCTTTTATGAGGGAGATGCCTGTGACTACTGAGGTGCCTATCGTGGGGAGGGCGGCGTGTGGGGATGAGTGTGAGGATGAGGAGGAGAAGAAACCAAAGGGGCTGCCTCCTTGGGGTGGGCCGGGGGATTATCTTGGTCGTTGAGGGAGGTGGGAGGTGTTGTTGGAAGGCGTCGGGGGCATTCGACGTGGGTTTAATGAGTGCGAGGGGTGGTCTTGCAGGTGTGATGCGGTTGTTGAGGATGGGAACAATTACAGAGACGGGCGAAGAATTATGTGTTGATTTTGAGTTGGAGCCCAAGGCGGTCGGGAATTGGCTGAGATGCATTTCTCATCTTTTGAGCTAACGTGTTTGCGCTCATAGAGTCTCTCTAGTCCTTTAGCGCTTTGCGATTCGATATTTACGTCTGCGCTCCCAGTTTAAGACCTTGTTCCCATGTGAGTTGAGCTTGTACAGCTCACGTCATGACCCGATCTTCAGTTGTGCATGAGATCTCGAAGAGCTTTCTTTGAGCGACTGTGCCCTCGATGAAATGGTCTCATCGAGCAGCTTGCTTCCCAGGAACAGCTCACGAGGTCCAGTGCTCCTCTTGGGCCGAAGCCGAGCACTATACGTCTTGCGAAGTGACCGTGACCAGCTCGTAGTCGACCACACTAATCGTAGAGCATTTCCCTTTCAGCCCAGTGGCAAACGAAGCTGTCCTAAGAGGACCTCTGGTGCGATCATCGAGGGAGCCAGCCATCACGCATCACGGATTCTTCAATCCCAGTCGTCATCATACTCGTCTTCGGCCTGCTCCTGCTGCCTTGCACGTCTTCGGTCATCGTCTTCGTTCATCTTCGCCCGCACAAGGACACCACAGGTGAGCAGACGTGCCTCCACCTCACTCGCAGTGATCGTGTCTGGCTTCCGTCCAACACCTTCGAACCCAATGATCCTGTCCAAGCCCACCCCATCCTTGAACGCGATGACGCACGGCAAGACCTGAACTCCCAGCTTGACCACCAAGAACGGAGCATTGTCAACATTGATGCTCACAAATCTCGTGTCGAAATGCTTCTCGGCCAGCACGGCCAGCTTTTCGTCCATAATGCGGCAGCGATTGAAGTCGGGTTTCATGAAGTGCACCACGCAGAGTTTTGTCGAAGTCGTGATGTCCATGAGCTGCTTCTCGTCCTTGATCTCCATGTACGTGCCGTGCGAAGTCTCCTTCATGAGTTTGGCGCGTGAAATCTCAGCATGCAGCTGCTCGAGACGGCGTTCGCGAAGGGCATCAAAGGCGCCATCGTCTTCGTCTTCCAGCTCCGCGATGAGGGCATCTTCGTCGTCGTCCTCGTGGGTTGGCCGGCGACTGTCGAGGACCTTGGCGACGCTGGGGTCGATGGCGGGCATGCTGTGCGTCTGTTTGGTGGATAAACCCTTGTTCGCTATCTGCTCTCCCTCGGTGATGAACAACGTTGAGGAGGTGTCGTTGGACCAGGGAAACTAGCGCCAGCGATTGGGGACAAGCTTTCTGCACGAAAATGCAGGTCGATCGCAGGGTCGAAGAGGAGGTGCCTCGGAGGTCAGCAGCAGCCGCAGCATATAGGACGACGACGACGACGGCGCAGGTATTGAAGTATTATTCCTCAATCCACCTGCAAGTCAGCGGCGCAGTACTGTCCAAATATACCCACAGCCGTATTTCGAGAGAGAGAAGTGCTTGGAGGGATTCGTGTTCTTGCATCGCTGCCATCCAATCACCGCGCGAGATTGCCAACGTCTGTCCTCGCCGTCTCCTTTACGAGTCTCCCACAGTACCACGCCTCGATCTTTTCTCGCGGAGACGCAGTAATACACCCACCGCCCTCACAGTCCTCTCGCGCACGGCGCGCTCACCACCACCACGACTACCTTCGTCGGCGTCAGCTCTTCGCTCGGGCCTAGCAGACCTTGGAAGAGTGCAGCAGCGTACCCCCTTGCCTCACGGACCGCCGCCGCACCTCCGCCCCAACCTCCCGGCAGCAGCAGAAGCATGAGCGACGACAAAAAGACCGACGACCTGAAAATCGAGCTTGGCGACCGTTCGCAGTCCTCCAGCGCATACCCCTCCCGCAGACCCTCGCCCGCGCCGCCCATGGCCAGCTCAAATGGCGTCAACCTCAACAGCCCGGTGCTGGCGATTCTGTCGTACTGTGGCAGCAGCATTCTCATGACCGTCTCCAACAAGTACTGCGTCAGCGGGACCGGATGGAACCTGACCTTTTTCCTGTTGGCGGTGCAGGTACGGTCACACACAACAATATATTAGTAGGGAAGTATATTGGTGCTGACGTCTGCAGTCAATCGTCTGTATCATGGCCATCTCGACCGGCAAGGCCATGGGCCTCATCACCTACCGAGACTTCAACACCGACGAAGCGCGGAAATGGTTCCCCGTCTCCCTCCTTCTCATCGGCATGATCTACACCTCCATCAAGGCCCTCCAGTTCCTCAGCATCCCCGTGTACACCATCTTCAAGAACTTGACAATCATCCTCATCGCATATGGAGAGGTGCTGTGGTTCGGCGGCTCAGTTACCGGAATGGCGCTGCTGAGTTTCGGCCTCATGGTTCTGAGTAGCATCATCGCTGCGTGGGCAGACATCACCCACGCTCTGACTTCATACGGCGGCGACAGCACAACAGGCGAGGCCGCTGAGAAGATCGCGACCCTGAATGCTGGATACCTCTGGATGGGAATGAACTGCCTGTGCTCCGCAGGCTACGTTCTGGGCATGAGGAAGCGAATCAAGTTGACCAACTTCAAGGACTTCGACAGTACGTCCTCACCAATCCAAGAGATTCGCGTGCGCTAACATCTCCCAGCCATGTTCTACAACAACCTGCTCTCCATCCCCATCCTCCTCATCGGCTCCCTCCTCCTCGAAGACTGGTCCTCCGCCAACCTCGCCGTCAACTTCCCCCCAGGCCGCCAAGGCCCCATGATCGCCGCCATGATCTTCACCGGCCTCAGCAGCATCTTCATCTCCTACACCAGCGCCTGGGCCGTCCGCGCCACCTCCTCCACCACCTACTCCATGGTCGGCGCTTTGAACAAACTCCCCATCGCCATCTCCGGCCTCGTCTTCTTCGACGCCCCCGTCACCCTCGCCTCCGTCTCCGCCATCTTCGTAGGTTTCGTGTCGGGTATCGTCTACGCCGTCGCCAAGATCTGGCAGGGCAAGGAGAAGGAGGCCAAGACGACCCTCCCCACGACCAGCGCCAGCTCGCAAAGTATGCGCGACTCGCTCAAGTCATGAAAGAGCTAGCAAGAGGCAGAGAAGCGTTTTATATACCACGAAAAGCGCAGAATCACGGCGTCAAATGGAGAAGGGAAACTTTTTGTGTCTGTGTAGGAATACAACGAATGAGAGGATGGGATGGGGACAGGCATGGATTCTGGCGTTTTTTTATATGCAAACAAAAAGATGATAGATACGAGGGGTTGCGGCTATGAGGATGGAGATGGGAAAAGAGGGAGAAAGCCCGACTCCTTTTGCGCTGGAAGCAAGGCTATATGTCTGTGTGTGTGTTTTGGAGTAGATTCTTTTTGGACATATTTCTTCTATAATCCTTTTTCAAACATGAAAGAAAATTCTCAAAATTTCCTTCGTTCAGTATATGGACATGTGTGGATATTTTGCATCGCGTTTACTATTGTGATGGATAGTGTAAGTGAGCGAGTGAGTAGTAGAGGGGGAAGGGGGAGTCTGAGATGGGATGGGATGGAATAAGGTATGGATCTGAAGTTCAAGCTCTCTCTGCTATGGAGTTTCTCATTCAAACCCTTCGAGCTCGGGAATACGCAAAACGCTATGCTGGGTACTGGTACAAGTAATACGCACATGCAAAACGACAATCGAGATCAACTTTTCCCACCCGATCAATCGCCCCCGTGATCAGACTCGCCCGCCACGCCCGCGCCAGCCTCATCAGGCATCGCAGCGTCCTCCTCGTCCTCCTCGTCGTCGTCCAGAATCCTCGCTGGCTTCTTCCGCTGCGAGGGACGGGCCACCTGCTCTTCGTCCTCGTCACCTTCATCTGCCATGGTGTCGTCGGCGTCTGGGGCTGGGGAGCTCGTGGCGCCAGGAGTCTCGACGTCGTCTGAGCGAGCGGCGGGTTGGATGCCCGCGTCGTCGTCCTCATCCGAGTCTTCGATAGTCTCCGCCGACTTGTACTTGGAGCTCTTGATGGCTTGGCCCTTGCGCTCCAGTCGTCTTTTCTTCTTGCGGGGGGGAGCCTCGCCATCACTGTCTGGAGCGCTGGCGTTTCTCGATCGCGGCCGGCTTCGCTTGGCGCCTTCGTCGCCTGTTCCATCAACACCGTCGGTATCGGTGTCCTCGCCCTTCTTCTTGCGCTTTTGGCGCTTCTCCTTGGGCTTCCGCTCACGCTTCTTGCGCTCGCCGGTGTCTGGGTCGGTGGTATACTCGGCCTCTTCTCGCGCCTTGTCCTCCTCGAGTCGGCGAGCGATGAGTTGCCGATCCTCCTCCATCATTCGCTCGCGCTCCTCCCTGACCTTGCGCTTCTCCTCTTCAGCCTTCTCTTCTGCGAGTCGCTTCTCTTCTTCCCGCTTCTGGAACTCCTCCTCGCGACGCTTGCGAGCTTCATCGAGTCGAGTCTTGTGCTTAAGCTCATACTCGGCCTGCTTCTTGATCGCCGCATCGAGCTGTCGCTGCATGGTATTGCCCATGGCTGCACGCTGCTCGATTTCTGCGGGAAAGTATGGCGCGTTGGGCTTCTTCGCGATTTCCAAGAACGACTTATTGGATGCGAGCAGGTCTTGCATCGCAGTCTCGACATCGGCCAGCTGCTTGTTCATCTCAGGTTGTGAGATCATCTGTTGAGCCAGCTGACTCTGCACATATGCCACGTTCCATTGGAAGTCGACATTGTCCGGAGACTGCTCCAATGCTTGTCGAGAAAGATCGAGACTGGTCTTGAAGTACTCGATATTCTTCTCGGCCCTCGCGCGATTGAACCATGCACGAGCCAGCCAGCAAATGATCATGGGATCCTTGTCTCGAGACCTCTGCAGGGCCAGCTCGTAGTTTTCGATAGAGCGGCTGAACTGCTTCATCTCACAGAAGACATGGCCGAGGTTGATGTATACGGAAGCATCTTTGATGCTCTCGCGTACTTTGGAGAGAATCTGGATACCAGTGCTGGCATCCTTCTTGTCCTCGACCAACGCAATCGCCATACCCTGCGCAGCGAACGCGTTCTTCGGGTCCAGCGTCAGCACCTTGTCGAAGAACTCCACGGCACGCATGTACGCCTTGGCGGCACGCTCTTTGTGCTGATCCGTCTTCTTCGGGATGTCTCTCGCAACAGTCAGGTTCAGGTTGCCCATTCCTGTCAGCGAGTAGATGTCGTGCTTGTCGTACGACATGAGGGTGTGCTTGTAATGTCTCTGCTCTTGATCTTCTGCGATTACAAGCGTCTTCTTCTTGGTCTTGTTGAGGCACCATCCGTACAAGGCCCGAATCTCCAGGTTACTCGGATCGGCGTCCAGTAGCTGCTTGACCTTCTCGGCGCCCTCGGCAGGATTGGTCTGGAGCGCGATGTAGGCACGGCGAGTGTTGGCGTCGACATAGTCTGGGTGTCGTGCCAGAAGACCGTTGTAGATCTCCTCGGCTTCCTTCTCCAGACCCTCAGCTTCGTACGTCCTCGCCAGGTTGTAGCTGATGGTCGATACCAAGGCGTCAGTGTCATTCGAGCCGTCCTTGTCCTGTATCGAGACACTTGATCTGAGGGCCGACTGGAAGTATTCTCGACTCTGAGGCAGCTTCTCGGCCTGGAAGAAGAAGCATGCGATGTTGTTCAGGAGTTGTGGGCTCAGCATGTTGCGCTTCCCATCTCTCTTCGCAACTTCGTCGTCTTCAATATCCTCCGGCAGATCGTCGTCGGAGATTTCGTCAAGCTCCATCTGCTCGACTTGCTGGAGACAGGTCAATGCCTTGTCCGGCTGGTCAAGCTCGTACAATCGGGCCAGATTGAGCAAGACGGCAGAGTCGGGTTGGATCTTCTTCTTTGAGTCCTTCCACGCCACTCGAACTTGCTCAAGGAGTCCCATGGCCTTCTTTCGGGCGTCAGTCTTGTCCTCCTTCGATCCCGCAGCTTGGCTTGTGAAGACGTCCTCTGCGTGCAAGACTCCCAGCAAAGTCATCACCTCCACGCTCTTGTTCGTGCTGAGCATCTTCTCGAGCTGGAACTTGGCACCGTCAAAATCTTGCTGCAGTGTCTTGATCTGCGCAATGCCGAACTTTGCAGGCACATATCCGGGATCGCCATTGCCTCGGGCTTGGTCCGATCTGCCATAGAAGTCTGCGGCACCACCTAGGTTGTCGTCGTTGTGCTCCTTCCTCGCAAGCAGGTACCAAGCATCACTGGCCACAGCGCTGACGTCGGTGTAGTCTTGAGCCCTCCTGGCCAACCGCTCGACATTGGTCCACGTCTTGCGCAGGAGGAAGTACCCACCAAAAGTGACGCAGGTTAGCGGTTGCTTGTCATCCAGCTTGAATGCTGTTTGGGTATAGGTCGTCATGGCTTTTTGATATAAAGAGCGGAATTCGGGGTCGTTCGGGTGGTACTGGCTGGTCTGCTGGAGATGGTATAATCCAAGCAGCACGTTTGCGGCTTTCGAGTTCTCGTTCAGTTGAAGTGCACGCTCCCAAGCCTCTTTGGCGTGCTCCTTGTGGCCAAGCTGCCAAAGACAGGCTCCAATGCCAATCCGCGGGTCTGGATCAACCATATCTGGAGCACGCTCCAAGACTTGTTGATAAAGCTGATAGGCATCGGCGTACTTCCCCCACGAGAACTGAACTCTCGCCTTGCCCAGAATGGCCAGAATGTTCTTGCCGTTTGATGCTCGGTACGCATCGTCGAAGCACTTTGATGCTTGTCGCAACAGCTCTGATCTTTCCTGTGGCTTCAATGCAGCACGGAGAAGACTGACCGTCCCTCGGGCGAGGTAGAGGGGTGGGTACGCTGGGTTGATCTTCGAAGCATCATTCAGGATGGTTGTCGCAGCGGTCAACCACTCGTCCTTGTTCTGTTCATCTTGCGCCTTTGGCCGAGGAGATCTGCGAGACTGGTATACATATATCCAAGCCAAGCACAGAAGGATGCTCAGACGGTCTGGTGAACTGGCTTGTCGCATCACCTCGGCGGCTCTCTTCAGGATATCAATTGCATTCGCCGCATGCCCCTGCTTGACGTATGCCAGAGCGATTGTCACCCAGTATTTGCATTCCACGTGCTCATTCTTTAGCAGATCGCACAGCTCTTCAATGTCATCGATCTCTTGGGTAGTGTCGATGTTGACAAGGTCGTTTTCGAAGGGCACGTCGATGATGTCGGGCACGTCGGCGAAGCGCTCGTATGGACCGTGGCTTGAATGACCATTGATGCCGTTCGTGTGGCCATTCGCGACGGCGGCCATGTCGGCGGAGGTGGAGTGGGTGGTGGAAGCTCAAAGCATGTGGTTGGAATGCCTCGAGTGGTCGGCGGCGCGTGGTCGTCGTGTTCACAGACGTGTGTGTGGAGGTGTGGCGGTATAGAGGAGAGGCAGTCGATCGCGCGGTCGAGTTGGTGGTGATGAGGATGGAGTGGGTGTTTTAACAAAGGTGTAGCAACAAAAGCTCCAAGCGACATGCGCGACAGTTTAAGACGGCGATCGGCCGCGCGCACAGACCAGCTGCGGGTATGCGCCCCAGATAAGCTCCCGCAGAGCCGCATCTTCACCTCCCGCTGTGTCTTCACCTGTCGCGACGACTACTCCCTGGAGCTTCGACTTTCACATGGTTCATAATTGCTAGTGTCACGTTCGTTGCGCATTAGCATTGGGAATAGAGATACGATCAGGAGGAAGATGCGCGAACGATAGGCCACGATCCGAACCTGCCGCAGCCAAGTAGCTGCTCCTGCCTGCCATGTCGTGGATGCGGCAGCAGACGAATGGCAACTACCTCAACGGCAACGATGCGCTGAACCGCTTTGAATTTGAGACGAGCAGTAGAGAGACGAGCGATGCCGAGCGAAGTCGATCACGAGGGCCACCAACATATGGAGGACGTGCAGCACAGGGAGTGACAGGCCCGTCGCGGCTGGACAGAGGACATGCGTATAGAAGAAGCAGGGACTTTGACAACAGCCAGAGCAGGAGCAGGAGTCGCGCAGGCGGTGCTCGCCATGGCCCAGCTAGTGGGCAGGTCGAAGGTCAGTACATGCCAGAAACATTGAGCAAAACCCCACACAAATCCACACATTCATAACTCCATTTCAATCTGTCATGGCGGACCCCTCCCTCAACAACACCAACACCTCCAACAAACTGTCTCCAGTCATGCGCTATCACAAGCAGCCCCACAGGCCGCTTCCCAGCACCACAGTGACGCTCACCAATTGGCTAGATATAATCCGCTTCATCGAGCAACAATGGTCTTTCATGGCCGACGAGAACTGCATCGCCGTCAAGGTCGCACTGCAATTGATGGATAACTCCTCCCTCGGCCTGGCAGATCAATACGACCAGTTTCAGGAAGCGCACCAGCAGCTACAGAATGCGCTCAAAGTCATTGTCAATCAACACCATCAAGGCTTTAACAGCAGTATCGGTACCTTTCACAAGATTCAAGCCGCCATTCATGCCTCTCAATCGCGCGTCCGTACGCTGCGTGAGGGCCTCGTGCAAGCCAAGGGCAGTCTCGCTACTGGCAAGCCGGAGCTGAAGGCTTTCGCGCAGAGTAGCCAGAGCTACGATCAGATGCTACAAGTGCTGGGCACAATCGAGCAGTTGCAGCAGGTGCCTGAGCAGCTTGAAGCTCAAATCTCAGAGAAGCGCTTTTTGGGCGCGGTCGACACATTGCAGGAAGCGCTTAGACTGATTCGAAAGCCTGAGATGGAAGAGATTGGCGCTCTGAGCGACTTGCGTGTCTATCTTGGGAATCAAGAGCACTCCTTGACCGACATCTTGATCGAAGAGCTCCACAACCACCTCTACCTCAAGAGTCCATATTGTGAAGAGAGGTGGAAGTCGCACATGAGACGAGATCCGTCCAATCCAACCATGGATGATGGAGAGCGAGCGATGCACTCATTCCTGGACATGTTTGATGGTTCGAAACCGATGCTGGAAGATGCGACCAGGAATCCAGAAGCAGACACCTTCTACTACATCCAACTTCTCGTGGAGTCGCTGAACAAGATGGCGAGGTTGGACGTAGCGGTGGACGCCATCGAACATCGATTGCCTGTCGAACTCTTTACAGTTGTGGAGAGATCTCATAGAGAAGTGGAACAACGGCATCCATCCATCATGCGCAACGCGGCCAGAAGCCAGCGAAAGACAGCTGGCCTCAATGCAGGACCCGATGGTGAGCGGGCTGAGACGCTGGAAGACCTTCTTACCACATTGTTCGCGAAATATGAGGCCATCGCTGAAGGACACCGTGTATTGCACGATGTGACGGCGGCCATTATCAAGCGAGACGGATACGAAGACGCAAACCTCAACCGCAGTTTCCGTGAGCTCTGGAAACTTCTGCAAAGCGAAATCCGCTCTCTCCTGCACGATCACCTCGCGACGAACGGCAACCTTGGTCACCGCTCTCAACAAGAGAAGGATGCCAGCGCGAACATATTCCGACCACTGCCTCGAGATCGCAATCGCAAGATCTTCAAGATGACCGACGTGGATTTGAAGTCAACGGAGCTGGCAACAGAACGGGAAGACCTCGAATTCATCCTCAGACAATCCGTACCTGGTCTGGTCGGCAACAATGCACGCGACACGAAGCAGGATCGAGACGTTGTAACAGACGTTTCTGCAACGGGTCACAAACTCCTGGTCGAGCCAAGCGTGTTCAATATGGGCATTCTTTTGAAACCCTCACTCGACTTTTTGACCAGACTGAAAGAAGTTGTGCCTCCAAACTCTGGGGTAGTATCCAGCACCTTGACATCTTTCCTCGACGACTTCTTGATCAACGTCTTCTACCCACAGTTGGACGAGACGTTACTCGACTTCTGTGGGCGCGCAATGAACGAGATGGACGCCTTCCAAGCACACGAAAAGTGGCAAAGCCATTCAGCGCGACCCATCTTCAAAGGTACCGCACGCTTCTTTGAGCTCATTGAAGCTTTTTGTGTCATGCTGGACAGTCTCCCACATGACCAAAGCTTCAGCCAGCTGATCATCACGCAAATGCGAACATACTACGATCGATGCTATCAGTGGTCGAAGAGTCTGCTGCAACGGGCGCAGCTGGAACAGGAGGGTGCAGTGAAGATGCGCCTGGCCGCGCAATTGGCCACATCTGGCGACATCAACCAGGTTGTTATCGACCTGACAAAGGCCAGCAAAGAGGAGGCGATCGTGCTTGCAGAAAAGGAGACCGCCCTACTCCTCAAAACCATCAAGACCCGAACACTGGAAGAAGCCGACTTGATCAACGACCGCAAAGCCCTCGCCGCACTATGTACACTCCAGGTGAGCATGAAATGGTTGGCGTCTAGATGTCAGCAACTTCGATACATCTCCCCGCGAGCCGTCGACACACAAAGCATGCAATCACACGACCGCCGGCGTTGGACACAGAACTTCAATGTCAACAACGCACCGAATGCCCCTTACCTCCCTCTCGACCAGCAGACCGCAGCTGGCTTCGATGCAGTCATCGCCTCTTTCAACGAACTTTCATCGCTAATCCTCCGCACGCTGCACATCGATCTTCGACTGCAACTCCTCCACGGCATCTACTCCGCCATGGACACCACCTACGCCCTCGGCCAGCCATACAACGACCCCGACCCCTCCATCGCCAACCTCTCCGACACACTCGGCTCGTACGAGGGCGTCATCTCCCAAAACCTCCTCGAAACGCACTACGACTTCCTCACCTCGCACCTCGACACGCTCGCCAACAACGCCATGGTCTCCCTCGTAGGCTGCATCCAAGCACTGGACACGTACGGCTCCGACCGCATGGGCCTGAACATCTTGGTGCTGCAGCAGAAACTCAAGCAGGCGATGCAGCAGGACGCCAGCTTGGAGTACGCGGCGAGGTTCTATGGTATGACGGATGTCAAGACGATTATCAGTGATGTGGCGAAGCGCGAGTTTGCGACGGAGGATCGCAAGGCGCTTGTGCGGTTGGTTTTTGATGCCGAGAGGGATGGAGGGGAGGGGGGTGTGGAGAGTTTTGTTGCGCAGTGTGGTTAGAATGGAGAAGGAGAAGAATAGGCCGTGTTGGGGGCCCTTTTGTTGGATTGGAAAGTGAGAAGCTTGATGAGTAGTATTGGAAGACAACATCATTGGCAAAAAAGAACTATCACGACATACCACTCCTCTCCTCCTCAATCTCTACAGCCATAAAATCCTCATACCGCGACCACCTCCTCACCTCCTCACCTCCCCTCCCTCCCAATCCCCCCTCAAAACATCAAACCCATCCCCCTCAAACCCCCGTCCCGGTCTCCACCCGGTGTTAGTGAGCTTGGTTTGTATTATGTTTTGAGAAATCTAGGAAGTGTCAAAGCACGGATCGAAATGCTGCTCTGGGTTTTGTAGTTTCGTAGCTTCGTGTTTCGAAGGATGCTGAGGGAGGTGAGGTGCCTGGATGCAGTGGGTCACTGGCGGCGAGCTAGTTGAAGTCTAGGCAGATATTGGTCAATGCGTCCTCCACATTCGCATGTGAAATTGGGCAGACCGTAGCGGTCAAGGCGGCTGCACACTTTCGAGTAGGCGGAACGAATTTACCACGACGGTACATGGGATGGATGCTCGAGTCAGCTGCTGTCAGATCGTCCGTGGGAGGACAGAGGAGGTCGACTGCGTCGCATCTTGTCAAGAACAGGAGTGAAGTTAAGGGTAGTAGCGCAACAATCACTTCCGTATACCGCTGCTCAATGAAGAAATCTATCCATTCTGGAGAATATCGTTGCCAAGCTCATGTCAAGCTTGCCAGACAACTTCTCGCAGATCCATTTTCAAACCCCAAACATCACAACTCGCCTGACTTCGCCCAGTTTGACAGGCCGTGTTCATAGACCATTCTCTCATCACCATATGAAGACCGTCGGCTCGCTTCGATCACAACCCAGTTCCGGCACTATCCGCTAAAGGAACAGTCAATCGTGTCAAGTATTCGCATCGTCTTCGCTTGTCGTTTCACAATGCTCGTAATGTTGTCCATCTTTGCAGAGAGAACCGTTTACTGAGCCTTGCTGGCATCGACCTTGCCGCGCAAGCCAGCGGAGGCGTCGCTCTCGAAGAAGCGGGCAAAGACTGGCTGGAGGAAGGAACGGAAGACGATCTGGGCGCCACTGTACTACATGTCAGTAGACACGCGGTTGATGTTTTGTGTTACAACATACCCAGTTTGTGGGAGAGCCATCCAGAGAACAAGGACGAACTTGAAGACGTAGTAGAATGGGAACCAGTAGACGGCGTTGATGGCAGACTCAATCACCGTCAGGAAGGCGTAGACCACCCAGTACTGTCACCCTCAGTCAGTATATCGCTCTCCTCGCCTCTTGATTTGTGCACACCACATACTGTGAGCCATTGAGTGTCATCGGCCTTGCCGCTGCTGAAGAGAGCCTCGAGCGAGTAGTAGGCCGGGATGGCGAAACCGGCAGTGTTGACGAGGAACTCGCCGGCAATGTTGAAGAAGACGAGGAAGAAGTAGAGGGCGCCGATGCCGAGGACGACGTAGACCTTGGGGACGGAGGTTTGCTGCTCGAGCTGGTTGAGTTGGGGGTACTTGGAGAGCTCCCTGTCGCGAGTGGTCAGTCGTGAGAGAAGGATGTTGTGATGGTGCTGCACTTACTTGTCGAGCTGAGAGAGGTGGTACTGGGCTCTACGATGGCTATCAGTTGGTGTACCCTGCACTGCCTGAATCATGGAAGCGGCGGGCGCTTACCTCTCCTGGATGGAGCCCTGAGCGTTGCCTTGCGACATTTTGACGGTGGGTGATTTGTTTGAAGCTCTGAAGCAGGTGGTGGAAGCTGGTTGCAGTGGTTGTGTTGGCAGAGGAGGTGTTTGTGGATGGGAGCAGGAAGCGGAAATCCAGTGGGAGATTTGGTGATGACGCAGTGGGACAGGTGTTGAGTGCAGGTGGGAGGGAGACGAGAACGACGAGCTTGCAGTGGTGGGCGACTGGAGCTTGCTGCTGGCTCTGCTTGCTGGCTGCGACAGTGAGCACCCCGGTCGCTTCAAATCGGGGAGCCGGAAGACGAAGATCGATCTTCAATACCCACTGCAGGCACGATGCTCGCAACTGCAAGCAATACTACCAATTTAATTCAGTTGCTTGTTGCAACACTTCAAATACCCAGCCGTTGGCTAATCAATGTTTTGTTGGTGGTGGGTGAATGCCGTTGCATAAGCTTTAATGCACACACGTGAGGCGGGATCACGTTTTTGGCCTGGTTGCCCCGATTCCGACTGTTTACCAACACTGGCTTCAACATCATCACATCCTCTGCCAACCACCCTCCCACCCCGCCACGCCGACGACTCTCCTCCACCAACACCTCACATCTACTCCGCCGGGTCTGCTCCGTCGGCAGCTCCTCTTCCACCCATTCCCAACCCTCTGGAGTCTGGCCCAGCGCTGCCGCCGATCGGCCCGCCGAAAAACAACCACCACAACAACTGGCTCGCAGTCGGCTACGTACAGCGCTCTGCCTCCATGCTATGCTCTTGCATATGTGAGTATCCGTCTGCAGAGTCTTGTCGAGTATACCAGACAGGACGAAATGCGACCGCCATCAGCGACTTCGCTAACCCAGCCACCAGTACAATAACAACCCCAATCAACAAACAAACAACATTTCGCCAGCATTCATTCGACTACCCTCCACATGTCGGCTCGCAATAGCCAGCGCCCCGACTCGCGGGCATCAACCACAAGCGCAGCGTCTCGTCAGAACGATGCGCTACCGCCGTCGCACCCCGATGCGAAAACTGTTCAGGTCACATATATGCCCCAAGGCCCCGAAGCAGCCCTACTACAATACCACCAGTCGGGCATGGCTCCACAGGCTGTAGGACAATACGATGTCGTTCCACAACAGCAACATCTTGGGCATCACCACGCCCAGAGCATCCAATTCCCGGTCCAGGCGCAATATGGCCCCAACGACTCGCCGTATCTACAACAAGACATGGTCTATGCACAGCATGTTCGTGTAGGATCGGTCCCCATTCAGCCTGCGGTTGAGATGCCTGACGACAAGAGACGGAAGACTTCGGCCGTTACCGCGACCAACGACAAAGAATTGAGGGAGATGCTGGTGAAGAACGAAGGGAGAGGACTGAGAGAGGTTGCTCAAGAAGTCATTCAGAAGGAGAGAACGCCTATGGCAGAGAAGACGAAGCAGCTGTTTGCTATGCTCTGGTAGAGTTCATTCCTTGGCCCACTTTTGTTTGTTTCTAACGAGTCTTCAGGCTACGTCAAGTTTGCAAACCAGCAAAGACCTCTGTCCCGAGGAACCGAGTATACTCCCAGTATGCCACCCGCTGTGGTACTGAGAGAGTCGTTCCTCTAAACCCAGCATCGTTTGGCAAGCTGGTCAGAGTCATCTTCCCCGGCATCCAAACCAGAAGACTTGGTGTCCGTGGCGAGAGCAAGTATCACTATGTCGATCTAGCGCTCGAAGAAGAACCGCCCAACATGCCGCACTCCTGGCAAGGCGCAGTGTTCCAGCACATGGACAATCGGCAACGGTCCCAATCGATGAGCACCCAACAGATCGACTTTAACAACATTCCTCGCTTGCAAGCCGACACGGCCGCCTTCCCCAATGACGGCAGCTTTGACTTGCAATCCGCCCTCCCTCCGACGCCGAGAGGGCCAGCATCAAAAGGCCAATCCTTCGTATATCCCATGTCGCGAGGCATGCAATCTGGAGCTCCGGAGTCTGCGACATACCAGCACACCCTACGCTTCCCTCCCAGCAACATGCCGGTCTTCTCGGAAAACGAGCCTGTCAACTTGCCACCGATACATCCATACCTTCCTCCTCGTACAGATACAGACACCGCCGAAGCACTTGCTGCGCTATACCGGACGCATTGTACATCCCTGATTGACAGCATCCGGTTCTGCAAAGAGAAACAGTTCTTCCGGCTTTACACCTCGTTCCACGGCACACTTACTGTTCCTGTACAGAAACTCTTCACCCACCCTAATCTTGCTCCTTGGATAGAGCAATGCGATCTCGTCATGTACAGAACCATGGTGCGCTTCGCCAGCCGCCTGACGCTGCAAGCCGCTCCGCCGGTTGTCATCAACATCCTCTCGAACATCTCAAATACACTTCACGACCACATCGCAAAGACATTCGCTAGCCAACCGCCGCACGTGCTGGAAGCTAAACTAAAACCTGCCACCGTCTTCGCTGGTCTGCTGTATCGCCTTATCAGGGTCAATCAGTCGGCCCACGCCGCCGCCAACCTCCTCACCGTCGACCACAACAGAGAGCAGATGTGGCGGGAATGGACGGTCATGGTCAACCCGAAACGGGTGATGGAGGCCGAGCTGCCAGACTGCGGCTACGACGAGGTATACAACATCATGACTACAGAGATGCGGAATCTTTTGGAACCTTTACCAGCTTATCAGGACGATATGTCCTATTACAACTTCGAGGCGGACAATGGTGGATTCGCACAGTTCTTGCAGAGTCAGACCGCACCTCCATCCCGCAGTGGACCATCGCAAGTGTCGACCGAGACTGTTCTCGACCGGTGGTCAGCGTTCTTGTCCGGCTTGCCAGGTCGCTTCCCCCATGCGCCAGCTCGGACGATTCTTCATTGCATATCTGCCGTGGGCACGGCGGCGCTGCGAGACATTACCATTGGCTGTGGTGCATCGTATGCCCATTGGTGGGTGCTTAAAATCTTTGTCGACGAGATGGCATTGTGGCTGGCCGAGATGGGTGGCTTTCTTGAGCCCACTATCCCCAACTCGCCGGTTAACAGCGCCAACATGTATCAATCGCCGGTATTGGAGAACGGAACGGGACGAAGTCACAGCGGAAGTCGAATGAGCAGCATGGGTCCTGCGAGTGCTAATGGTAACGACCAGGCACATGCTCTCTTCATGGCCGAGGCTCAACAGCAGAACTTCTCCCAACAACAACCCCAGCAGCACACCCACGTACATGGGCTGCCTTTCCAACCGACCCGTCAGCCATCGGGTCTCAAACAGCAACATCACCTGCAGCAGCAGGACAATGATATCGATGATAGCGGCATCGGGATGTCGCTGATGGACGACGATCTGACCATGTCCAAGTTCGGCGTGACCGGTCCACACGTCGCCATGGAGGGCATGGGCACGACCGACATGCGTGTCGATCCGCTCTGATGGGCCCAAAGAGGTGTTTATGATGTTATACGTAGCGCAGGTGTCGGTGTCGGTGTGGGTGGGTAGCTTGTCTGAAGGCGTTATCATGTCAGGCAGGCTCAGGCTCAGAAACAAAGAGTGTCAGAGAGTTATTGGGATGACTTGGGGGCCAAGATCTGCGCATGCTACTACGCCTTTGGAGGCTGTTTGTTTTTTGGATACATGACGCCCCCTTGGATGTGGGTCTTGTCTTGGGTACAACTGGCGCGGTGGGGTTGAGCTTCCTGCTTGGGGTTGGGACGGGCGGGAATGAACTGGATACCACATTTTGCGCTTTTCTTGCTGCTGCTGGTTTTTGACGCGGAAGGGGTTTGGCTTCGTCGGTAGTTGTGTTATTGATCATGAGATGTTTTTGGACACAATACTCTCCCTCGCATTGTCGTGTGATGTTTTGATGTTGAGATTTCGATTGGGGTTGAAGTCAATGGGTTGGTCAAGTCAGATGTTTGAATTCGGTTCATATGTCTCGGTAGAAAGCAAACTTCGAATCAGCAATACGCTCGCAGCAGGGGGTATCTCATATTTCATTTCATATCACAAAAAGAGCAAAATCCACCACCCCCTCTATCTCAACGCCCTCCATGCCTCCATCCCTTCATCCCTCCCACCCCTCCCCTCCCTTTACTCCCCCAACTAATCCCCCTCCCCAACCCCAAACTCCTCCATAACACACCGAACCCTCACGCCCCTCTTCTCCGCCACCAAGCCCAACAACCCCATCCCCACATCCTTAATCTCATTGTACCCATGCAGCAGCGCGATGTGCTCTTTGATGACTGCGTGGGCGGTTTCGAGCGCCGAGGTTTGGATTTGCATGGGCGTCCAGTTGGTGGGGAGGGGGAGGCTGGAAGGGAGGGTGCTGTGCGTGTGGAGGTGGGAGGTGTAGAGTGTTTGGAGGTTGTGGAGGTGGGATTGGAGGGCGGTTAGTTTTTGGTGGAGGGGGTGGAGGGTTGGGTTGGCGTTGGGCGGTGCTGTTGGCGCTGGGTCGGGGGGTGGGGCGATGTTGTCTGGGTTTGAGTCGATGTCGTCTGCTGGACGCTTTCTGGAGCTGGTGTCGGTGTTCGAGCTTTCTGCTTCGTTTGTGGGGTGTTTTGCTGGGCTCGGGGAGCTTGGGAGAATTGCGTCTGACGACGGGACTGCTGGCTCGGATGATGCAACTTCTTGCTTCGGTTCTGCTTCTTGTGTCGCCGTCTCCTTGGACGACACTGCTTCTGCTTGCTGCATAGTAGTCTCCATTGATGATGCTGACTCAAGTTCCTGTCGCTGCGATTGAGGTAGTTCTTGCGAGGACATTGCGCTGTTTGATGGGCGCGAGTAATGTTCTATGGCTGTCTTGATTGAGACGAAACGCGTGGTGATTTTGGAAGACGCGTAGAATGAAGTCAAAGTGTGGAGCTGTCGCAAGGTTTCGGCAAGCGCGGAAAGACGGGCTGACCTTATCCTTGCCCTCAATAGGCAGCTGACGACGACATCGAACAGGGAGACGACATTCTTTTCCTCTGGCATCGACGAACTCGATACTGCCTTCGGGCTTCAGTACACAGCAAATACACGCACAAAATCGGCGATCTCACGTCGCTTCAGTCCAGTAATACAGAATGGCCACCTTCCGAACTAGACCCTCGATCTCCCTCCTCTCCCTCACGACCCTCCTCCTCTCCGCCAGCACCGCCCTCGCCCATGGCGGCCACGACAAGATCCCCGAAGGCGAGGCCGTCTCCGCCGAACCCCTTGGCAGCACCATGTGGGCGCACATCCTCATTCAGTCCACAGCCTGGGGGATCCTCTACCCGACAGGAATGGTCCTCGGCATGGTCCGGTCACGTTTCCACGTCCCTGTTCAAGTCCTTGCTACGGCTCTGGCGATTGTGGGATACTTCATTGGCCACGCGCATGGAGGACGGCAGTTTGGACCGAATGTGCATGCCAAGTTTGCGAATTGGTTGATGTTGATTATGATTGTGCAGGTGGTGATTGGAGTGTATCTCAGACTGCACATTGAGAGGGGTTTTCTGGGAAAGATACGGAAGGGATTGGTCAGGACGCATGCGATATTGGGTGGGATACTGCCTGTGGCGTCATGGGTGCAGATGTTGTTTGGAGGGATTGCGGCGCAGGGATTCTGTCAAGGGGATCACTTGGGACAGTGCGCAGCGCATTTCATCATGGGCTCTGCGTTTATTGCGTATGGGATTGTCTTGACTTTGCTGTTGTTGAATGGGCAGCCTTTCCTGGCGAGGACGGGGAGGAGTCAAGAGTTTTGGGACAGTTTGATTATTGCTCTATGGGGATGTGTGAACACTTTCACAGAGCACAGATGGGGAGGACCTTGGGTTAGGAATGACTTGCAGCACACGAGCATGGGTATCATTTGGTGGGCAGCTGGACTTGTCGGCATCTGGCTCTCTCGTGACAGGCAAGGACGGCCGAAGCGGAATCTCATTCCTGGAATCGTCATCTTCATGACTGGATGGGGAATGAGCGCGCATCCACAAGATCTTGAACTCAGCACACACGTCCACTCCATCTTTGGCTACACTCTGATGAGTGCCGGTTTGACCAGGATCATCGAGATCAGCTTCATCCTTCGAGACAAGAACACGCTTGTCGGACCAGAGGGTGGCGACGTGGATCCTGAAATCAACAGCTTCCAGTATCTGCCCATCTTCTTGCTCTATGCGTCGGGCTTCCTCTTCATGGGCGCCACCGAGGAACAGATGCGACTCCTTTCTGATGCTGGAGTCACGCATGTGTCCTACATTCTGATATTGTACAGCATATCATTTCTCCTCTTTCTCTGTGAGTATCGACCTCCCCCTTTACATCCGTGATCACATGCTGACTTGTTCTTCAGTTGTCCTCATGCTCCTCCATCTGTACTCAGCCTACGCAAATCCACAGCAAAACAACAAGAACCCAGTGAAACTTGGCGACGAAGAACGACCGCTCGCCAATGGCCATGCACGCATACCCAACGACATTGACCGCCAGTCCCACGATGCCCAGGAGTTTGAGCTCGAGGGACTCATGAGCGACGACGAGGAGCCAGATGCTTCCAAGGCGAATGGCCATACCACCAGATCTTAGATGCACAGACGCATGTATTCTTTAGCTTCAACATGAAAAATTGTCAACATTGAGAAATGAGTTGGTTCACGACTTCCAAGTACGTGAAAGTTGGTGTCTAAGGGGCGAGGCTGGGGTATGTGGGATGATACATGATATGCCCCTTTTTCAACTCGACAATATTTACCTACTCGCAGGCTACTTTGGAGCGCGCCTTCCGCCGGTGCCTTCCGCTGGCGACCCTGGACGTCACTGCACCGTTTGCACTTCCCACCCAAGGACACACCTCCCTCCATCGCGCTCGGAGACGGCTGGCGGGACGGCACCACGGTGAAGATCGATTTCGTGAGGCTTCTTCACATATCAAACCGCACCTCGTCCACTTCACCGAATCCAGCGCACGAACGACGTGTTTCAGAAATGGCCAACTTCACTCAGCGCCGCTGAGCGTCCGCGTGACCTGGTGCGAGGGGTTCTTCTCCTTTCCACGCCGGCGAAAAACGAATCTCTACCGCGACAAACACCCACTTCCGCGACGCAACGCAACACACCGCAACGTTTTGCATCGCAACACAAGACAACACAACATCGCGGCGCGAAGCCACACGACAGACTACAAGGTTGGTGTGCTGTTTTTCTCCTCCTGCGGTTTTCTTTTGTTGTTGTTGCGGCTTAACGTGTGAGGCGGTGTTGAACCGTTTCCTCCAAGCAGACCTCTTTGACTCTAGATTGACCACCGTGTCGTCCGACTTCTACACCTGAACCCAGAGCACAGTTGCCCGGTATGTCTGAGTATCGCTACGAGGCCTCCTTCAAGGGCGGCGGCGGCGGGCACCAGAAGCAGCAGCAGCACGAGCATACCGAGCAGCACGAGCACAAGGCAGAGCAGCCTTTCGATACGACCGCAGAGCACCCGAACGAATCGATTATCAAGCAGACCAAGCAGCAGCATGAGCAGAGCGACCACCCAAAGGGCGCAAACAAGCGGGCGTATATCACTCTTGTGACGCGTGCTTCTTACCTTGCCGGCGTTGTGATTCTCGCCCACACCTTGGAGATGCGCGGCTCCAAGTACCCGCTCATCGTGCTCTACACCGATTCCCTAACCGACGCAGCACTTCTCGCCCTCGATATCGAGGCGAAGAAATCGAACCTAATTCTCAAGAAGTGCGAATTGCTCATCCCAGGCGAGCAACACGACCTGGACATCGCAGTCCCGCGGTTCGAGGACACCTGGACCAAAATTCGTGTGTTCGAGCAGTTCGAGGACGGCTTCGAGACGCTCTGCTATCTCGACGCGGACATGATCGTGTTCAAGGATATGGACACGGTCTTCGACGGCGCCAGTGAGCTGCCGAAAGACCACATCCGCGCAGTCCACGACTGCATCTGCAGTCCGGATAGAGAGGAATGGACGCCAGACCATCACTGCCCAGAGAACTGCCCATTCAATTCAGCGGCCTACCCAGGAGATCTGATGACGTTCAACAAGGAGCACCTCCAGCGGATCTGTCGCGTCTTCAACAGCGGCATGTTCGTCTTCCATCCAAACAAGGCGCTCTGGGAGGACATCCTCGACTACTTCACCACGAACCCCTTCCTCGGCATGTTCAAATTCCCCGACCAGGATTTCCTAATCAGCTACTTCACGGACAAGTGGGCCGGACTTCTGTGGACGTACAATGCCGTGAAGACCATGGCCTACCGCCATGAGAAGTTGTGGGACAAGAACGAGATTGTCTGCCTCCACTACATCGTCGACAAGCCGTGGGCGAAGCGCATCGGACCGGATGGCGTTGCAGGCTTCAAGGGCAAGGACGGAGAGACTCATAGCTGGTGGTGGGACGAGTATGAGGCTTGGGTAAGGCCATCTCTTTCCTTCTTCCCCTGTCACGTCCGCGCTGACCATTCTCGAAATTTGCAGTCCAGCCTCCGTCAAGAGCAGGGTGCGTTCGAAGTCGTCTCCATCATGAGCAAGCACGTGGCGAGACGCGACAGCGAGAGCAGCGATCCTGGACGTCCAGATATGGGTGTCATCGGAACGAACGTTCATGAGACGGAGGAGAATGATGATACGGGCAGGCCAAGAGTCCAGTACGTCGACAAGGGCACGTGCACCGATGAAGTCAAGTACGTCGACAAGGGCACGTGCACGGATGAGGACTTCTTGTCCGACTCGGTTGACTCGCGTAACTCGGGTGACTCTCAAGGCTATGAGTACGACGCCGACAGGAGCACGGATCCGAACGAATACGACGAGGAGGAAGAGGACTATAACGAGAGTGCGGAGGACGACTACGACGAGGACGAGGAGGAGGAGACGCCATCCGACGAGGGTGGAGACATGGAGGCTGGCAAGGCCACGGGCGTTGACGAGGATGGAGGCTCGGATGTGGACACCGGCGACTCTGGCGACAGCGGTGGAGTCCCGCTCCCAAAGAGCACCGAGAAGGAGAAGGACGGTGGCGAGGACGGCACCGATTCCGACGTTTGAGGGCGAATCAAGCACTTTTGGACTTGAATCCTTTTTTGGATTATAGTCAAAGCAAAAGGCGCTCGGACACAATGGATACGGCGCGGAGACTTGTGTGTACTCTAGCTTCAAACGACATCAGGCGACATCATCAGGGCCGGGCATTGCAGTGTGGGAGGCGCTGTTGTGGTGTCTGGCAGGTCTGCACACTACTTGGTACTGACTGCACTGCTGCTTTTGCATTCAGATCGGAAATTGATAGACAATTTCCCCAAAACCCATTTCCCAAAACCACTTCGCCAAACATATTTCCAAAACCATTCTGTGCGTTCTAGGTTGAGTTGTGAAGTGGTGAAATTACCGTGTCACATGTTAATCTCTTTCCGCTGAGCTTGATCTCCACAAGGGCATTGAACCTCCAACGCGAATACTTCGCGAACGATCTGCAAAAGTACATATGGGGTTGTTTCTCTGAAGACTCCTCAGTTGCAACGATCAATTTCAAAGTCATGAAACTGCATATCCAGGTTCTTGCACATTCAGCCTTCGACGTTCCATCTAACCCCAGAATAACCCTAAGCTCACGGTTTGGGATTCATTCACTCACATTCCCTCAACCTCATCCCTCCCTATCCCTCCCCATCCCCTCCCC